ACACCCAACACACGCCTACCCAATTTAAACAATTCGCCCTATACAAATATGTATATGCACAAATGTTGAGTATCATCTACCACGTATTCAATTGTGAAAGCAGAATAACATATATTTTTATTACTTCAAAGCTCCCAAAGAAATTAAATTTCAGCATTAAATGATCCATAAGATGATATGCCATTAAGCAAACAAATCAATCTGGAAAGTGTTTTAACAGAAGACAGAAAGTGCAAGTCAGAAATCTGAAGGTGCATTGGATAGCAAAAGATGCCTTCCAAAAGTTAAGCAAAGTATTAAGAGAAAGATTTCATTAGAAACAAAGAAAAGAATACTGAACTGTTATGTAATATCAGTCCTACTATATGGCAGTGAACACTGGATAATCTCCTTGCAGATGAAGAAAAGACTTCAGCAACAGAAATAGAAGAATGCAAGTCTCTTCTTCATCTGAGAGGAGATTGTCCAGTGTTCACTGTCATGTAGTAGGACTGATATCACATAATAGGTCAGTACTCTTTTCTTTATTTCTTATATTTTTCTGTTTCTTAATACTTTGCTCAGCTTTGGAAGGCATCTTTTGCTATCCCAACGCACTTCTGGATTTCATCCTCCATTTATATGCTTCCCAGATCTACTACTTAATACTAATCCACTTGTGGAGGGTGGGAGGTGATCTCTCCCATAAGAGAGGGATTCTCATTTTGGACAGCACTCACCACAAGACGTCATGTCTAAACTTTTGGCCAAGTAAGTGTATGTCTGATTTTGCCCATCCTAAATTTAAGCTATGTGATGTTTTTATCCAAGTAATTTTAAAAACAAAACAAAAAAACAAACACCATAGATAATGATATTTGGTTGGTAGCTTTTAGTCATATACACTTTTATTATAGTAAATAAAGATTTAAAAAATATGATAAAATCCACTAGAAAAATAAGGCCTCTTTATTGCCTTTTTATTTTGAATTAAAATGTTTTTTTATTTATATTTTTTTTATATGTAAATAAGTTTTCAACTCTATTTCTAGTCAGTGGAATTTTTAAATGCAGAAAGAAAGTCTTTTTATATAACATTTAAATAGTTGCACATAAAAAATTTCAAGATAAATTTCAAGATAAATTACATTTGCATAGTGAAACAGAGCATGTGCAAAAAGAATGAAACTTTGATGAAACATGCACTAGTTTGGAATTTATAAAATGTTTGATAATTCTGGAATGAGTTGTAATTGGAGACACCAGAAATTTTGTTATTCAAATTATAAGTTCCAATATCTTTTGAGACTTATGGAATTCAAGCTAATTCCTATAGAGTCTCATGATAAAAACAAGATTGCTAACTGAAATATTTGAACTGCAAAGAGCACTATGCATATCAAATTATTTTTTATAATTACAAGGAATCTGGGGAAACTGTAACAAAAAACTTATTAAATTAATTTACATATTTGAAAATTTATATGCTAATTATTTCATAGTAAATTTTAAGAAAAAAAATTTTTTAAATAATATTTCTATGCTGGACATATTTATTTTTTTCTAAATCAGTGATCTTGAAAAGGCCACCAAGTTAACTGGATACACCATTTGAATTCTAAATTCACATGTAAACACATGTGTAATTTATTGCAAGTGCAAGAAGGAATTCAACTCAAATTTCTGAAAATAATCTGTACCAAGGAAACTGCAGTAGCTGACTCCTACAAAACTTTTCCTAAAATATTTAAAGCAGTCAATGCATACTCACTATTATTTGAAATTGCCTGATTATTCCAAAATAAATGAGTTTTTATTAACATTGCATGGAGAATCATTTAAATAAAACCAGTTTTTCTACTATAAAACGTATACATAAAAAGGCATAGAGCATACATTGGTTCATTTCATTTGATTAATTTTATAACTAATTATTTGATGTAATTTTTTTTTGAATTACATAAAAGAAATAATGAAACTGATTTCTTCATTATCCCATTTCCATGAATAAATAGAATCAGTGATTGCTACATTATCTCTTGCTGTAGTTCTGTGATTTAAGAATTGGACTAAAGATCGAAGCAACTGTGATTAAATCTCACCATTAAAACATAGAAATTATGTTCTATTCTTTCATGACTGTCCTTTAATCTGTATTGCAAATATTTTAATCTCAGAGCAGTCCTGAGTATGATAAACTACATCTGGCAGCAAGGCCTCTGATCAGGAGATTGAAGGTTTTGAGGAGCATTGAATCACCTTTTAATTGCTGTGCACCTTTTAAGGTCCCAGCTATGGGAAAATAGCAACCCCCCCTCCCAAACAAAAACAAAACATGTCTATATTTCTGAAATGAGGTAACTATTTCATTGTTCAAACTGTTGTTCTCATCTTTATTGCCATATTCACAAGATTTTGGCTGTTGTATGCTCTGTCCTTCTTCCTATGGCTCAGTGGATAAAATGGTTGGTTGAGTGATGCAAAAGTGACTTGACCCATAGAGTTGAGATGGAACAAAAACTTGGAGAGTTGGGATACTAAGGGGAATTAACTGAAACTGAGATATCCAAAACCATGTTACATGGAATTAGAACAATCTACCCCTGTGGACTAAATAAAGGGTTTGGTTTGAAATTCCAACTAATATCACCTGAAGAAGGCCAGTGTATACAACGGCTGAAACATCATGAATATAGCAATAAAGATCAGGACAACAGTCTGAACAATGTAAATAGTGTAAATAAAAACAAAACAGTATGAAAGTATAAAAATACCAGCAATAAGCAATACACTTATATATAAAAAAAAAAAATGATACAATACATTTTATCTGTAGTTGCAGGCATACAGTTGCATTCAAAATATATTTAGTTGAAGCTATAAAATTGTGTTCAAAATATTTAGACTTCAGCATTAAATAACCAATAGCAGTTGATATGCCACAAAACAAAATCCAACTAATCAGAGTTCTCGTTGGCACATACCCAGATGATTAGAATGTAAGCATTCTGTCCATGAGATCTGGGTTCAAATTTCATCATAGTTGATTTATCAAGAAGGTAACTTTTTGATAATATCAGCCAGTGTGCAGCATCATTAGGAATTGCTTGAAAACAGGTTGACTATTCAGAAGCTAGCAGTAGTGGTACTAGCAAGTAGTCACAAGTTATTGTGACCAAGGATTTGAACATACTGGCCTTGTTCAACTGCAGTCATGACAGATTATGTGCTCTCTCTCAGAAACTGTAATTAAGGTCTGTAAAGTAGCAGTATAAACCTTAGGTTAGCCCTGTAGGTTTTGAAGAAATACAAATTTGCCTGAACAGGCATCTGCAGCAGGAATTAGCTAACTTCCCTAGAAGATTCCATAGTCTCCCAAGACTGACAGAAGCCCACCTAATCCCAGAGCTCTAAATCTGCTATATTCAAATTTTGAATTTATTAGTCAGACTCTGGTATTCATCTTTATTGTCATATTCATGAAATTTCATCTGTTGTATACTCCGACCTTCTTCAGGTGATATATGTCAGAATTTCAAACTAAGCCCTTTATTTAGTCCACAGGGGTAGATTGTTCTAGTTCCACATGCCATGCCTTTTCTGGATTTCTTGGTTTCAGTTAATTCCCTTTAGTAACTCAACTCTCCATGTTTTTGTTCACCTTTAAAGGGTTAGGTTTGAAATTCCAATGTAAATTACCTGAAGAAGGCTGGAGCATACAACAGCTGAAACATCATGAATATGACAATAAAGATGAAGACAACAGTCCAAACAATGTAAATAGTTACAAGAAATATAGAAATATAGACAGAGGTCAAGGAAATTTGTATTACATTATTGTCTCTATTATGCATTTTACCTTCAAACTGAAAAATCCCATAATGCTTTGTTTCCTTTTATTGAAAGCAACAAATATTTTAATAGTTGTGAGCCACCATTAATGCTAAATTAAAAAATTTGTTTCTTTTTCTGTTTCCTTTTATGGTATCCTTTATTTCGTTACATTCACGCTGTGATTAACTCATTTATATTTAATGGTTCTGTTTTATTTTTAATTTACATTTGAGATATAATAATCATATTTCATATAGTTATACTTTTAGTTGAAATTTCAACAAGCTTTCTTCATTTCAATATCAAAATACTGTAATTTCTCAAAAATAATATGTACCCATAAATAATACTCACACCAACAAATGATCCAAAAATTAAGAAATATATGTATCACTATGTATAGTACACATCTATAAATTTTGTCAAGACAAAAAAATAATTATAAAGACATTAGGAATAAAATCAAAACTAAGCGGCTAAAATAATGTTGAAAATTACCATGCGGTTTTTCCCGATAAATATAACATTTTATTTTACCACCAAAATTTCATCAAAATGTGCGAGTTATAGTGCAAATTTTAAACAAAAAGTAATAGAATTAACAAGAGAATAATGAGGCCAAAGATAATTTTGAATAAGACATAATATTGTGAATGATAATTTGTTTAATGACAATTTAGATATTGATTCTATAATAGAAAGTTGTGATGAGTATGATAAAAATTAAAATTTCAACAAATTGTTAACTTGATGTCCTCTTTTCTTCAAAATTGGCCTTTTTATAGATTTTTTATTTTTTCGCCAAATAAAAAATGCAGTTACTGATAAATATAAATTTATTGACGAAAATGTTACAATTATTATTGTTGGATTTAAGATGAAAAATATTTTTAAGACAAAAAGTACATATTTATTATTATAAATCAATAACTAAAAAATATTTTTGTTTAAACCTATCTATAATACACACCACTACTATCACCTGTAATTTAAAGTAAAAAAAAAAAAAAATGCATATTATTTTCAAGAAATTATGGTCCCTGTTAAAAGGCATTTCATTTAACATTATTTCTATTAAAGCTTCATTTTCAGAAACCTATCAATGGGACTGTTTACTGTTTGCTGTATTTTCTATTGTGTGGGTTTTGTTAAATTTCAATGTTTAGCAATTCATTTTTATTTTTCAGATGATGCCCCCAAAGAAATATTTGCCAGAGGAGAGGTGGCGGTGCGGGCTTACGAGAAAGCATGCATTTCAGGAATTGAAGCTGTTTACCGTACACGTTTAATGCTGGTGGGTAAAGATAAAGTTGGAAAGACCAGTCTCAAAAAGGCACTTCTGGGTCAAAAGTAAGTTCTGTTTTCTTCAAACATTAGTATAATGAATGCTTTTGTATACTCTTTAGTGAAATGGTATTTATAATTTCAATTTTGGTTTTAAATGTAGCTTTACAGAATATATATTTTCTTTCATATACATATGAAAACTTTTCCTTTTATACAAGTCTAGCTGAAAATCATTTGCTCAATAATTCTGTCTATATTTAAAGGTCATTTTCTTTTCAATTTTGATAATTTGTATATCACATAACATTTAAATACTACAAAGAAGATATCTCAGCTTTATACAAAAGCAATTTAGTAATTTTAGTGTTTTTAAGTATACTATCTATATAGCTATTTTTAAAAAATATATATATAAATTCTCTAATAACCATCACTTCCTCACAAAAATCAAGGAGGTAATGGTTTTAATAAAAATGTTTAATAAGAATAAAATTGTAAAAGAAAAAAAAAAACAAACTTACAGCGATATTACATTGAAGCACTGGTTCTCATATGATCACTGATGTTAAGCAATGTTGAGCCTGTTCTGTGCTAAATGGGTTACTGCTTGGGAATACCAGGTGCTTTAAATTTGAATATGGGGATGGTGTAATGGATAACAGCTCGGAACTGGAAATTGAAGATCAAAGTTCCAATTCAAGTCGGGTTGTTATATTCACTTATATGCAAATATCCTTGAGAAAGGTATCCACCTCTTCTTCCCTAGCTATGGGTAGGCGATTTCAGGCCTTTTCCAAGAGCATTAGCACAACATGAACAAAACAGAATTGACCAGAATTTAATCACTAATAGTTACACTGACTGTAAATCCATAACCCATCACTGAGCTGAATTAACAAAAGCAACTTTCATTTATGATAATGTGAAACATTATTATCTCAAAAGAATTCTTACAATCTAAAAATATTTCCTGGCTTTAAATAACCTGTAAAAGGTTGATGAGCTGTAAAAAAACAAATCAATCACTATTAAAAAAAATATCTTCCAAAAATTAAAACCACATTTACAGTTTATTTGCACTCACAATAACTGTGTCAATCACTGCTCTGGATTTTTTGTGCTTCTCCTACGAATTGATTGTCAACTTGAATATTGTATACTGAGTCAGTATTATATGAGGGGGTGCTGAAAAATTCCCACTTTCCTAAATGTGACCAAACATCAAATGATGGAATGGAGATTACCCAGTGAAGTTCTATAAGAGCAAAGGTTTTTCTTCTCTCTAGTCAGTTTTTTTTGTCTCTTGCCTGGAGAACGTTTGTTGTTTAACCCCACTCATTGACAGTTGCTCATTTGCTAGATTGCCGAGAAAGTCAAGCAGAGAGTGGAAGAGAAGAAAAAGGGAGGACTAGAAAGTCAAAACAAACAAACTATAAGAACAAAGGCCATTAATCAATTTAAACGATGCAAATATATCTCTCAAAAGAGAAATGGACAAAAAATTATACATTTCAAAGAACATCAAAAACAAGGAAAACACTTTTCAAACAGAAACAATACTTTGGAACCAACTCAACAAAATGATAAAGGGAAACATCATGAGTAAGAGAAGAATTTAAGACTTAGTAGGGATCATATATTTACCATGTTGCCTTATTGCGACCTTTTGTGGATAGTTAACTCTGGGCTGATTCTCGGCTGGCAAAAAAAAAAAAATATATCCTAACTAACAATGTCCGGCTGCTAGGGTGTCACTCTTCGTTGCTACTTGCCCCGGCCTGAATCAACCTTCCTTGAACCTAAACTAAGTCTATCTCTGCTGAAACCCAAAGCGCTCCCGTATATATGCAGAGTCCTCTTTCATCATTTCCAGGCAAGGGACACCCACGAATAAACCCATAACTTTTTCATGACCATTTCTCCTTTTGAAGAAAGTGGACATAAAAATATTTCCTAGCCTAGCTGACTCCGATCCAGGGACATTAAATTCAGACCCTTTTAAGTTTTGACCAGAGCCGGTCTTTTAACTATCAAGTACTTAACACTTATCTACCCTTTTGGCCATATGTCCAAAACATGTTTTTATCTAGATTCCTAATCTAGTCATTGGGTCTTGAAGTTTGATACCCAGGTCAAATCTAACTAATCTTCTTGCACATATATGTGTGTGCTGACGCACGCACAGATGTGTGGGTGTATATATACACACGCACACAGATGTGCGGGCGCACACACACACGCGTGCGCATATATCCAACTCATAGTGTCACATTATAGTCAAGCACTAACTAAAAGGAGATGTGGCAGTTTTCTTACTCCTAAAGAGTTCTGTGGTAGTAAACTCACAGAAAATTATAGCTAAACATATGTATATATGTATGAGTTAAAGATCAAATGCAGATCAAATATGGATCAGAATCTGACAGGATAAAATAAAGAACAAATAGGAAATGCATATTAATCTTATATGTTTCACTTTTATTGAAGCTTCATCAGAAATTGAGAGAAAACAGACAAAAAGACAGAACTTTGGTATTTTCAATTTTGTTTGGGTCAACTCTCATTCATCAGTCATGTGTCTTCTTTTATTTGCTGTGTCCATTCAGGGTGTAGGTGATCATAGTCCCCCACATCTTCCTGTCCCTTGTAGCTCTTACTAAGTTTTGTCTTTTTGTTATTTCTTCCAAACCCTGTTCTGTCATCGATTTGCTCAAGCCCATCAAGTATGTTACATGCTACTTTCCTTTTTCCTTCAATCTGTCCTTTGAGTATCAGATTTTCCAAGCCCTCCTCCCTCATTACATGTCCCAGAAATTTCAACTGCCTCTTCCTGATGCTAAGTCTAAGTTTCTTTTTTGTTTCAATTCTCTCCAAAACCTTGTCATTGCTCACATGTTCGGCTCATGATATCCTCAGCATCTTTCAGTAGAACTGCATTTCTGTTGCTTCAAGTCTCTTCTTCATCTTTGAGGAGAGTGTTCTGTATTCACTGCCATATAGGAGCTCATATCACATAATGATTCAGCACTCTTTTCTTTGTTTCCAACACAATTTTTCTGTCTCTTAATACTCTTAGCTTTTGGAATGCATCTTTGGCCATCCTAATAGGTCTTTGGATCTCAGTGTCCCACTTTCTATCCTCTGTTAGAACACTTCCCAGATATTTAACTTTCTCTACCTGCTCATATATCATGTGCATCAAAACTGTAAATAATTCTATATGTATGTAAGTTTATAAAGTTTCTTGTATGTTTAAGCAGACATCAGATGGTAATGTGTATTCATAACTGTGTATGTGTGTTTGTCTAGTAAGAGAAGTTCTAATGTCTTCACCTACTAGACAAACACACATACACAATTATAAATATACTTTACCATCTGATGCCTGCTTAGATATATAATAATCTTTACAAACTTACATACATATAGAATTATCTACTGTTTTAATGCATGGGATACAAGACTGACCAATGAAAATTAACCCAAACAAAATTGAAAATACCAATGTTCTGTCTTATTGTCTGTTTTCTCTCAATCTCTGATGAAGCTTTAATAAAAGTGAAACCTGTAAGATTGATATACGTTTCCTATTTGTTCTTTATCTTATCATGTATGCTTATGTGTGTATATAAAGGATAAATGTCTATTTTTTATTTTATGGAACATTAAAAATTATTATCATAATTTTAACACTATTACCACTTCTACCATTTTGTTACTAAGTAGCAAGGTCTTTAAGATTGGTAACGCATATACATTACAATATGAGCATTACAATCTTTAGTAGGCATTTATCATCATATTGTAATTTCTGTGTCAGGCTTTTTGCATAAAAAAACTGACAAAAATAAAAAGTTTTTATTGCATACAAATCAACTAGTATGTACAACATGTCATCTAATAAATGCAATATATACGTAAATGCCTGAAATAAAATCTTGTGAAAAAAAAACAAAAAAAAAACACACATGATTGTAAGACACATAATCTTGTCTTTGGGGTTAAATTAATGACTTGCTAAAACAAATTCTCTCATCTGTAGCAAAAGACAGATGACTTAAGATGAGTTATTTCATTTGTAGTAGTGAACAGATGAAAAATGGACGTGCACTGAATTGTTGATGTAAAAATATCAGTAAATCTTTTACGTCTGCTAGAGAGTTGTAATCTTTTATGCTTATGGCCATATTATGTTGAAACATTGGTTCTCATACAATCACCAAAGTTAAGGAATGTTGAGCCTAGTCAGTATCTAGATGGGTGAATGCTTGGGAATACCAGCTGGTGTAATGGATAACAGCTCAGAATTGGAGAGCAGAGTTATGATTACAGTTGTATTTGTTATGTACACTTAAACACAAATACCCTTGGCAAATCCCACCCCCAATTTATGGGTTAGTTAGTAGGACTTGTATCATTAAATCATTATTATCTCCAAAAAATTCTTACAATCTAAAAATGTTTTCTGGCTTTAAATAACCTGCAAACAGTTGATAGATGGTAAAAAAAAAAATCAATCATTCAATGTAATCTTTTATGAATATTATGATTGAAGCTATTGATAAATTTTTCTTGTAAAAGTAGCCATAAAGAAATATCACCTCACAGGCTGTTATTAGTGAGTTTAAACCCCATTAGGTATTGTTTAAAGTTTTAAATATCTACAGGTGGAAAGCAAATTAAAATAATAGACTGCTTAAACTGGTTCTTAATTTATTACCAAAGTCAGTTTACATCTCACAGTCACTTGGAAATATAAAGTGTTCATTGTAAAAAAGTCAGCACAAATTAAGGTCTATTTCAACTTGGCACATATCTTGTGAATGATCTCTGACAATAAGAAGCTTTGTCTACCTAATACTAAGTTCTGAATCTTATCACATCACAAATCCATCAACACATGTACTGCAGCCATGGCATCAGTGCTGTGTCTACAACAAGATAGCCTGATATAGCCCATCCCTCTTCAGGCTGGTTTTGAGTTTTACTCTTTGGCTGTATGTCACCCAAGGCAAGATAGCCGTCAGCCCTGTTATTTAACCTATAGCTAGAGAAAGATGGATTTTGGCCTTTTCCAAGAGCATTAGCACAACGTGAATCAACCAGAATTTCAACTCTGTTGATTTCAATTTCTGTGTTAATTATAGATACACTGTCTATAAGTCCACAAACTTTTAGACTTATTGGAGTTTAAAGAAATAACTGGATTAACAAAAGCAATATTAATTTATGATAATGTGAACCATCACCCACATCCGCCCAACACAAAATTATCAGGATGTTTTAGGATTGACCTAAAGTTGAGGTCATAAATTCAACATTGAAACTTATTCCTAAATATAGGCTTATGATCACATCACTCTGAAATACTGGATCCTGTATGATCACCAAAGTTAAGCATTGTCAAATCAGGTCAGTACCTAGATGGGTGACTGCATGGGAATACCAGGTGCTATAAGCTTGGATGTGTGTGTGTGTGTGTGGGGGGGTGTAATGGATGATGGCTCAGAATTGTTAATCAGAGAGCCAAGGCCCAATTCCTGTTATGTTCATTATACAGGGCATGGTGGGTAAATTTTTGACATTTTATATTTTTAATTTTGTACATGGATATTTTTTGTTTTTGATTTTGTCAACTGTAAGGTATAGTAGAGTCAGTTGGGCAGTGATCACTAATGATGGTGACATTATGCCTCCATTCATCTCTCCACAGGGCCTTAGACTTAACACAGAGGCCTACATCAAGTGCCTTGAGATACTGCTGCTCTGGGTCAAGAGGGTGGCTGGAAGACCCTATGTCTGGCAACAGGACTCTGCACCATGCCACACAAATATGAGAACCCAGTCATGGCTGTCAGACAATTTCTTACATATGGCCACCTAACCCCAGACTGCAACCCCCTTGATTATTATGTGTGAGGTGTGGTTGAACTGAAGGCAGGGATTATGGCAGCATTCACCAACCTAAATAAGGAGACTGTCCAGAAGAGTTGAAAGAAATTCTGAAGTCACCTGGAGGCCATGCTTGAAGCTAATGGTGATTTTATTGAATAAATTTACTCTTTAGTATTTCAAGTTATTTTTGTGTATTTTTGGTAAATATATCTGTTAAAATGAGGTGTCAGTGTTATTTACATTTTTGCGTAGTTTAGACAATTTAGACAATCTCTTCTCCTCCCAACTATCAGTTAATTAGTAAGACTTGTATCACTAAACCTTTATCTAAAAAAAAAAAATTTCTTTTAAACTAAAAATATTTTCTAGTTTTGAACAAACTTCTTATTGAGTTGCTACACCACACCCATTCAGTGTTGCACACAGAGCTTGGGGTGTTATGGTTTCAAGGTCACTAAATGTGCATGGATCTTCAAGATTGGGGCAAACTCAGAGATGTTCCATAGTTTGTGATTGCCTGCATTGGCAGTTGGGATCAACATCGGTGACATATCCCCACTTTTAAAGGTTGGCTCTACAGTGACCAACAGCTGTTCAGAGGTGATTTAAGCAGGACCAGAAAAGCCAGTCATCACTGGAGCCAGGCATGAGGGATTCTGTAGAGAGCCTGTCTCTCACGTTGTTAAAGTGGCTGCATCACAGGGATAGACACTGACTAGGAGTTATGTTGTTCAGTGGTTCGGCTGAGTGTAAAAAAACTGTCCTGACTTGAGCCTCTTTGTTATTGGTTCACAGCTGTGGAGTGGATGCTGAGGGTTAGTTTCCTGTTTCAACTTGGGAATGGACTGTCTTTATGTAAGGTGGAGCAATACCACCAAGCTAGTAGAGGCTATCTACTTTGATTGGTATGAGACATTCAGTGATCAATTTTCAAGAGGAGTTTAAGGCACAGTTGATTTTCTTTGCATGTGATGATCTGCTCCACATTGGTGATAAAACAAACTGCAAAGTGTTAATAAGCCATTGAAAATGACCGAATGAATCAAAATATTTCTAAATATTTCTTACCTCACAACCCCCTAGTTTTATTTGAAACAGGATAATAAGTTTTCTTTACCCTACAATTTGACACTAAAGTCTTGTTGAGGAAAGAGGTTATGAATTAAAATAATTGATAAATTATTTTCCTAAATATCCCTTACCAAGCCAGGAGTTTATATGTTAATGTGCATTTTCAGGTGGAAAATATTGCAAATAACAATTGCAAAACATGTCATGAGTGGAAGCATATTCTCTGTGTAGTAACATAACTGGTTTTATTTAAGATTTCTACATGCATAGTCGACAAAAAATGAATATTTCATTAATTTAGAGAGAATATACTCGACCAACACAAACCTAAAGATTCCCAACAATATTGACTTTTACATATGATAGTGTATCTTGACATTTTAGTGTAATTACCCATTCGTTCTTTAGGCTTATGCCCATATTATGCTGAAACACCAGTTTTCATATGTTCACCAAGGTTAAACAACATCAAGCCTGATCAATACCTAAATGGGTGACCACTTGGGAATACCGTATACTGTAATCTTGGATGTGCAGGTGATGTAATGTATATTGGCTCCGAATTTGAAATCATAGGGCCAAATTGCAATTCCAGTCAAGTTCTTTATATTAACTTATGCACAAATACCTTTGGGAAAGGTATAAATCCACCTCTTCTCCCCCCAGGTATTGGTTAATTATTAGGACTTGTATCAGTAAATCATTATCTCAAAAGAATTCTTACAATCCAAAAATATTTTCTGGCTTTAAATAACCTACAAAAATTGATAAGCTGTAAAAAGCAAATCAATCAATCCTTTTTTTTTTTCTTTTTGTTTATTAACTATAATCTGAAATTTTCAATGAATTATCTATTTTTAGATATATTTTGAATTATATATTTGGCTTATCTCACAAAATTTAATGTGTTACCAAAATTTTCTTTTTAACAATTGTTTAGACGATGCAATAAGTTTTGAAATCTCTGATCAGACTTGGAATATATTTTTAGATAAGTGATCAGTTGCAATACTTTGCTTTTATTCTGTTTTCTTTGAAATTACTCTGCAAATTCACAATTGATGTCATTAAAGATATAAAATATCCCCACTTAATTTTATTTTCTTTGTAAGCAAAATAAAAAAATAATACGAGAGAAAGAGATTTGTTTATATTTCTTTTCCACATAAACTTCTAGAACTCACATTACATGATGATTTCTTATGTTATAAATAAAATAAATACATTGTAAAAAATATATCTAGATTATTTTAATCTTATTTTATAGTCTTAAATCAATCTGTATAAAAACTATTAATATCCAACATATTCAAATTTAAACGAATTTTTAATTTTTTTTCTGCAGCCTATTTAACATTTTTAAAAATGTCATTATGATTTAATTGATTCTCTCATCATAAAATTATTTATTTTATATTCAGTGATATGTAAGTGACTGTATTATATCATTGTTAACAATCTGCATTAATATTAATGATAAAAAGAAATTATGCCAGTTTTCCTATACTGAAGTTAAAATGCCTTTTAAAAAATGGCAGTTTAATTTTCATAAATTATAAGTCAAAATCTAATTTCTGTTTAAGCAGGCCACTCAAAGCTTTACAATTTTTAATAAATCTTAATTCCATATTTTTTTATTTACATGTAAGAAATTGATCTCTAGTATCAGCCATGAGATCCAAGAAGGGTAATAAGTAATGCATAATTTGAATTTCCATGGTAAAACAAATTCTGATATACTCTACAATATTTAAAGTTGCTAAAGTATAATTGTAATCAAAATATAATAAAAACAGTAAAGGGAAGTATTAAAATCCTGAGATATTAATATGCAATAAATTTTAGCCATTACACATTTATGTGAATTTTGTAGATTAACTTTGTTCTGACTTGCCTAGCCACTTCCTATAAACAATCCAAACTTGAGATTTTTATTTTCCCTAGCTTAAGTCTTCTTTTACCTCTTGTTGTCTACTTTGTCTCAATGATCTGAACTTTACCTTAGCTGCTTGGCTGTGTATAGACTTGTCTCTGTCTCCATGCTTATTAGTCTGTTTTTTTTATTATTTTCTTTTATTATTTTTTGGGAAGCAGTTATTGGCAAAACCAAGAAAAGAGAAAGAGGCAAAAGTTTTAACATTGACCATTCTACATTACCATAACTGTCACTGCTGTCTGATTTTATGTTCAACAGGTACAATTCACTTGTCAAGAATCAAGAAACCAAATTGGTTTCTAATCTAGAATAAGTGGTTCATGTCAAAAGTGTGTATTAATCAATAAAGCTCTAAGGTCAAACAAATTTTAACATCTTATTTCGATTATAGGTATAATAAAAACATGTGTAAACATGTGAAATTAAAGAAATGTTTAGTATTAAGATATCTAAGGCTTGAAGAAACTAATAAGAATCTAATGGAAGCTTTCTAGTAAAATGAATCAAGTACTGGTTCTTTTGTTTCCTTTGCAGAAATAAGTTTTATAGATACAATACATAAAAGTATTACAGTTTCAGTTGATTATATTTTTTTCTCAAAAACCAGAGTTTAAGCTTTGGTTGTGTTAACTTCACTGAAACAAGTAAAACTGATTTTATTTTTATTCTTACTTTTGCATTTAAGATTATATTATAAATAAATATTTAGTTGCATATTAGTTTTATATGTGTGTGATTACAATGGAAGTAAAAATAATTTTGAATGCTATCTGAACTAGATATAATTTTGTATCCATGAACATTACAATGAGCGCTGGCTGGTATATCAAAGTTATTAGAGTACCATCTTTTTACCTTCATTAAAAAAAAAATGTTTGTTGCATCATGTTCCAGCAGCAGAGTAACTTTGTACACAACTCGAGGAAAGTGAAGAAATGACTGAATTGGCTTGCAACAGCCCAGGTTTAAACCCTATTGAGGACATGAGCATTATAAAGAAGCAAGCTGCAGAGGGACTCTTCAAAACTTTTATTGACACTTCAAAGAAGACTAACAAATATTTAGGTCACTGAAATACACACCTGAACTGTGTTGGAACTTTGTGACTTCCTTGTTTTGCCAAATTGAAGAAATGATCAAAACAATGGCTACTGTACTATTAGGATGGTGCAAAAATAATGATGTAATAATGTTGTTTTTTAACGTAAAAAAATACGTCAAAAAACGACATTATTACGTCATTATTTTTGCACCAACCTAATAAATACTGAATAATTTCAGTGAATTTGTTATGTAATGTTTTTTTATGTTTAATAAATATTCTAGCTCAACATTTTATTGTCTTTACTTTGGGGTATGTTCACAGTAATTTTAGATAGTGTTTAAAAATATTTTATTCTCAGTGTATAGCTGAGTAAACCATTGTTAATATTTAAATAACTTATATAGAAAGGAATTAATATCATCACACACACACACACACACACACACAAAAGAAAATTGATTATTTTAAAGATTTCAGAAACCCAAACCTGCTGGTGTTAATGGTCACATTTGTTTGTAGATTCAACTACTAAAGATATTGTCCATCTAGTGATTCCTTACAAAGATCTGTCTTCTGACAAAAAATATGAGTATAAAATCTTTTTTATAAGGACAATAGCCAAAATGTATCAGTTGAAGTGCCAAACTTTGTCCATATATTTATTAATCTACAACTCTCTTCAGAAAAAAAACCCAAAACATCTGGAAACTTAGATTATGTTAATCTAAAGTAAAATGTAATCTTTGTTTACTGTAACCATTTAGTTTAATTATTTTCCCCTTACAACATTGTTATATATTGTAGGCATGACATGGAAATAGAGAGTACTGATGGAGTAGATCTCAGTGAATCCTGCTCTTTTAGTACAAGAGACACTCAAGCCTGGAGGTTAGCCATCAGTGGAAATAATCAAATTAAAGAAGAAGAAGACGAAGAAGAAAGTTTACCAGAGGAATCACAGGATCAACAAGGAATAATTGGTGAGCCTTATGACATACATCTCAAATTATGATAATTTCATATGAAATGAATATGTATTTTCTGAAGAAGAATAAAAAAGGAATATTGATTCAGTCATCATATTTTTCTATTTTTCTACATTTTTTTTTTTTTTTTAATGTTTAAATTTTATTTTATTGTATATTTTTTTTCTCCCCCTACTCGTCAGTGTGTTTGCCCATAGTAACACATTTTGTCCTAATCATTCTAACCTATCCGATGGTCCCGTTTCGAAAGAAAAATCAGAAAAAAGGCAAAATTGAATGTCTTTGGCTAGATGTGAAAGTGTCTCGTCAGTATTCTCATGATTTAGTGGCCGACTATTCTTGCTTGATAAAATTTCTGTACTTGGAATTGTTTTCGCCACCATTCTTTCTCCTGTTCTTAATTTTTATTGAAAGCATGCCTCCCAAGCCCACTATTTGGTGAGGCCACCAGGTTGATGCTTGGACTTAAGGTAAGCTGAGGAAGAAAGCAGACTAACACTTGCTGCCACATATGTTGGGGCATTTATTATGACATGGCAGTAAATCGGGATAACCTTATTTTCTTCAATTTCTTTTTAGAATAGACAATGGGACTTATACTAAGTTAAAACTTAACTTAATGTTGCGAAAGGGTAAATGATAGTCGGCCAGGACTCTTTGCAAATTACCTCCCCCTCTCATCGTTACGTTGTTGTTGTATGTGTTATATGTAATAGGAGTAGGTAGGCTTTCCTACCACCCCGGTCAACACTCCTCCCCCTTCTCTTGGACATGAGTAGAGGCTTATGCCTTGTTTCTTGTTTAGGAAGGGATTTCCAGTACTCTCTCTCTCTCTCTCACTGGCCTCTGTATCTCCAGTTGCCTTGATCTATCCACTACTCTTCTCCTCATCCTTTCTTCTATCACTCCTATCTGATCTTGCTCCAAATTTTCTGTAACCCCTTGCGTCCTACTGGCTTTCCGCCTTGCTTGGGGTGAAACGCTTAAAAAAAGAAAAAAAGTTATACATATCATAATTATGAAATCTTTTCCACACATACACATTTTCCTTGGATATCACTGGTTTTATATCTGAGGGAATTTATTATCTGTCTTTGATGACTTCACCTAGATCTGCATCAATGTTTGCATCATTATACTGGTATGGACTACAGTAGGTCAGATGACATTTATATGCTTGTTTGTATTAACTAAATGATAGTTCGGTTTACTTCTATATAGCAATGAAGAATTTATAATATTCTCTAAAACAATGCTAAGCAAGTATAGAGTGATAGGTACTATTGAGTTGTAAAATGCACAAAAATGTTTATATTATAAATATTCAATCATTTACCTACACAAATAAGTATATAAACCAATTCAAATGAATAGTGATGGAACACCCTGATAAAATATGATCATTGCTTAAGGAATATGAGTTGCTGTTTTTTGTATAACATTTATACTGGTGAGCCCAAGCATTATAATAGGTGAAATGTATCCAGAATAGCAGCTAATGTCTTGTAACTGCTGCACATATCAGGGGCAAAGGTATATCAACACAAACAAGCCATGAGTTCTTTTTATGTTGAATATTACTGTTATGCGAGTAACTTTTGTAAAAAAAAATCAAATTTTTATGACTAGAAGCCCAGGTAAAACCAATTGCAAAATGGTACAGTTTGTTAAATGCTCATATTCAGTTGGGATGAGTACCTATTAACAGTAATCTAGGGAGAGAAAAATCATCTGCTGGCAAGACATTGAGCAGTCAAGAAGTCTTTCCACTAAGTACAAGCCAACAGAAGGGCTACTGTGGCACAAATTGGGTATACTGTTAATCAAATTGAAGGAAAGAATGTATAAGAATACAAAGGACATCAATCCTTGTTTAATATCCAGCTGCATACAAGTAGTTTGTAGCCACAGGCCAGTTAGAATATCTATGTTAATGTCCACTGCCAAAAGTGTTTTCAATGAGCACGCTAGTGAACTAGACATTATATGGATAGGAAACAGTTGTCTGCTGTGATGAATCACTTTCTTTTGAATAAGGTGCATTGTTATCATAAGGTATATTATTGGGAAAACAACAAGCTAGTGGAGGCAGTGTAATGGTTTGGCAATGTTCCACTGGGAAATATTAGATCCTAACATTCATGTGGAAAAGTATTCTATTGTATATCATTTACAACCAGGTAACATCTACTATAGCAATGACATCTTTTAGTGGGACAATATGTCCTGTTGAACTTTACAAGTTATACAGAAATGATTTCTAGAGCATGAAGAAAAGCTTAATTCTATAGGATGTGTTGGACCACCAAGTTTACTCGACAAAACTTGCAGCAGTTAATAGACTTTCGGGTAACCCATGGTTTTTTTATTAGCTAAGGTGTCATAATGTTTTGGCTCATCAGAATAAATAAATATATATATATATATATATTTTATACACATATAAAATGATCATTGGTTCTTTGGGGGTTTTGTTTTGAAATAAATTTAAAAGCATTCCTATCTCTCCCTTCCCTCTCTCATTTCAACCTTGTCTGTCACACTATCGATCACCACTCTCTTTATCACCTTACATCAACTTAATACTATCTTTTTCACCCTTGTAAATGTGGTCTGATGAGCCAGGAAAAAAGAAATTCCCTGGGGAAATAAATTATAAACATGGACCCTTAAAGTTGTCTGTTTTCATTAAATTAAATTAATTACTCAGGTTTAACATTGAACTCTCTGGATTTCATCCTTCTTGGGATTATCCATACAGATTACCAAGATTTTTCATTACTTTATCTCTCTCTCTCTCTCTCTCTCTCTCTATATATATATATATATATATATATATATATATATATAATCTCTTTTGTCCATTTTTCATTATCCTATTATCTATAGTAGATATTCTTCATCTTATTAGGAGTTTCCTAGCACTTTATTTGCTAATTATTTTCTTTGATAATGAATAGGTTTTTTTCATTAAAAAAATTCTGAGAAAATACTATGCTTTTTGTAATAACGACCAATACTTTAATGACTTAATTTTACTCAAAAAATGTTTAAGCAGTAAATTTTTACATTTCAATTAAGATTAATTGTCGATGCATTTCTGCTGAAAAAAGAAGTTTTACAAAGATTCCAACATAACACAAATGGGATTGTCTTAAAAATTTTGTTTTAAAAATAGTATTTCAGTTTTTAGGAAAATTTTTCATGTGTTAAAACATTTTTATTTTTTAAGTGATCATTTTCTTGGTTTTATCTTTCTAGAAATGTAAAAAAAAAAAATAAGGGACCAGAAATGTTATTTTAGCTACTAGCCATAGGCTTCTGGTTATTATTACTATTAGTTAAAAAACTAAAAAAAAAATCAGATATCCTCCTTAGTGGATGATCTCAGAATAAAAAATGATTTTACCAAGATATATTACGCTCTTAATTGATTTAAGAGAACTGTTCAGAAAGAAAATTACAATTTAAAAAAAATAAGCACTATTTATAGTAGCACTTCTAGACCACAACACCCCCCCCCTGCAGTTGATAGGTTCAGAGTAGTAAGTACCATCCTTGTCAATTATTATAATTGATGATTGACAATATAATTTAGGTATAAAAATAGTAAAAAGTACAAAAAGCAAAAACATCCTGCTGAAACTAGCACTTTTGGGGCTCTAACCTTATCAGAGATTCCTGTGTAGTACTCACTGTACTGGTCATGCAGATACAAGATGTATATTAGTTGATGACTGACAATGTACGTCAGTTTAAAAATAATTTTAAAAAATGGTAGATGGACTAAAACAGTGCAGAAAAATACCACTCCTCTACCAGTCAAGGGTTTTGGGGGTAAAATGCACCAGCTCTGGATTAATAGATATGTTGTATGCAATTAATTTGCATATTTGCTATATTTTTTTCAATAAAGTTTCATCTGTATAATAAAACGGGAGAATTGTTAGTATATTTCATATTGTGTTGCCTATTGTGAATATTTTCCTAAATTTTTTGCTGATTTTTTTTTCTTGTAGGTGGTTCAGCCACATTAGAAGAAGAATATGAAGAAGCCATAGCAATGAATGTCTACTTAGAAATGTTATTCCAAAAGAAAGAAAAAGAATCAAGGAACAAAAATTCTTTCCAAAAAGACAGGAATTCAAAGAAAGTAAAAATAAGTTTTTAGATTTTCTCTTTGGTGTACATTTGGAAAATTTGTGTTTGAGTGAAAAATATTTTAAATTATTAATGTTGTATTTTTTCGAGAAGAATTTTTTTTATTGGTTGTATACACTATTCTGTTTTTCTCATAGTGACAACAATTGGATCAGTTTATTTTTCAATCAATTAGATATGTTGTACAAAAACACAACACATCTTATTTTTACAATCTTGGAGGAAATTTTCATTGTAATTGTAAAACTTTTTCTCTGTCTATAACTTCAAATATTGTCAAAATATGCTGAGATCTCTAACAAAATTGTAGGGAACATTTCTAAAAGATGTTCATTTTTTTCTATGCAGATATTGTTATTCTTTCTTAATAAACTGGTGGAAAAATTCCAGAATTAAAATTGATTAATGCTAGAACCTAACTAAGCAAAATATTTCTGTATAATAGCTTATCATTTATCCATCACATAATACTTGAAAGATCTTCATTCCTGATTTTTCTTTCATTATACTCAAGCATTTATTCCTTTTTGTAATTTACTTAAAGGATGGTTCAGAAAAAATATAAATCTTTTCATTATTTTTATTGTTTCAGTGTAAATTCTGACCTGTAGTATTTTTATAGTTGATTTAGTTTTCTTGAAGTATAAATATTTTAAAATAAATTAACTTTCATTACTTATTGTTATAGCAGTGCTGGCCCATTTCATAAAAATAGCATTACCATTTACTGCAAATAAATAACTATAAAGATATTAATGGTAATTTATCCTGGGCAATGCCATTTTAGTTTCAGTTGGATACACTGCAGTACAAGGCTAAGGTAAAGGACACCCCTAATACATAATGTCATAAAAATATGTCACAAAACAGGTTGTATTGTATGACACTATATGTCTGTGTTGTTTTTTTGTCACATTTTAAGCTTTTCATTGTTGTAGAAAAAAATCAAATATTTTTTTTGATAACAAAGTTGAATTGTTAATTAAAAAATTAATTTAAATAGGATCAGTAATAATACTAAGTTAGTAGCTAGTTAATTAATTTCAGCATCTTGAATATTATACATTGGTAGCAGGTAATGTCGGTTACATAAAGGTGTATAAGTACATGCTGAAAATGCATATGTACATCAACAACAGGCAATATGATTTTCATAAAGATGTACGAGTATCTCTTGAAAATGTGTGTGTGTATATATAAAGTTTGTGACAGCTGATTGATGTTACCTTCAACATCCTGACTCCAGAGTTTTGAAGGTAGACCTGTCCATCCACTCTTCAGATGGTATCAGCAATTTACTGCTTATATTTTTCAATTTTTTCTTTTTTATACACATCATTGATGTAAGTTTTTTCCATGTTTTTTTTTTTTTTTTTTGTGTGTGTTTGTGCATGTTCACTCATGCACCTGTCTGTGTGTTTGCGCAGATGTGTGTATGTGTAGGGTGTCATGATCATTTGTCCTTATTTTTGGGTTTTTTTTTCACATTATACTTGCTCTTTAGCATTTTCTTTTTCCTTTTTCTTTTCTTTCGAAAGTTGCTGTTGATGTTGAGTTGCTGAAATGTCTAGATATGCCACTAATTTTAATTTTTGGATATTCTTATTTTTTTTTTTATTTGCTAGAAAAGTTATATTTCATTTTTACATAAACAATTGATATTAATGCTTAAATGGTAAATACTTATATACACACACATACATGCACATATACTTAAATATTTTTTATACTATTAGTCATTGCCGTGGTAAAACAGGAGAAAGTTTTGATAAAACAAGAAAGTGTTATGTACTGAGACATTGAAAGGATAAGGGTTAATAACAAAAACCCATGGGAAGAATTGAGGGTATAATTCACGCATAAATGACTTGAATTGTATGTCGAGCAGTTTGAACAATGGAAAAGTGACCCAGACTTAGAGGACAATGTTGATTGACACACAGCTGCAAATGCGAACTGGAAAATGAAAATGTAGATTTTGTAAACAACTAAATTTGGGACTGAGTTTTCCTGGACGGAAAATGGTCGAGGTAGCAGGTGCAGATAAGACATTAAGGAAGATGGAGGAACCACCCATGCTCACTGAAGAGGTCGGAGAGAGGGAATTCCCGAAAGTTATGATGTAAGCTGGAGGGGATTAGCCAAAATGTTCCTACCTCGCCATACCCCCATGCCAGTTTTGGCGAATGTCCATAAATACAAATACACAAAGTGAATTAGGCAGAAGAGATGGAGATGAGACTAGAGACAGGAGAGAGGCCCATGTGATTATCTGCTGATGAAAGCCAAACTTTACCAATACAGCAAACTTAACTTTGCCAAGTCAACAACGATGATATCACTTCTGATTTAGACACAGTTGGGCTGATAATTAATTGCATGCAAACTCTGATATAACCAATTATTGTACGAAGGACTGATATAAAAACAGTATTTACTTTTGTTTAATTTATTTGAGTGTTATTTTTTTTTTCCCTGTACGTCTTCACCCTGCTTGGACCAACCCAACATGAAGATAGCTGTGATGGTTCAACTTTGGCCTCCTTATGATCAAACTTAAATCACAACATGGGATAAGGCAGTTCTGAGATTGAAGCAATCTTCATTGATCAGCTGTAGTGTTGAAAGTCTTGGACATCTGGGGAGGGTGTTGTATGATTACATTTTTACAAATAAATAACCAAATAAAAAAAAAATGAAATAATAGTCTAGAGTGAAGATGTGATTGTACAACACCCTCCCCACGCTATTTTTTAATTTTTGTTATTTGGTTATTTATTTGTATTTGTATTAATTGTATGATAGGTATTAATTATAGGAGGTTAGATTTATAATTAAACTTTTATTTATTATTATTTGGATTTATGTGCATATGTCTGTATGTTCATTGCTAGCCATGTAAGTTTTGTACAGATGTATCAGTACAGAAATTTGAATTAGTTCCAATTTCCTGGACCATATTAAATGAGGCACAGCTTATTTTAATATTTTCTAATTTTCTTCCTTTAATAATTTTTTTAAAAAGTTTTGCTTGAAAATGTATAAAATTAATTCATCTAATCCAAAAAGTTCAATCAACGGAGACCTAGCAAAAATTGCATAATAAATAATAATTAATAAGTAACAACTTTAAAAAGACAAAATATTAATGCTGGTAATTGTTATGAAATAATTATATCTTGCATTTTTAAAACATTAGCTTGATTTCATATTTAAAAATCCAATTGAATCAATAATGTTGCTAATAACAATTGCATTTTAATTTATTTTATGTTCATTATTTACTCTTTGTCAACAGTCCGAGAAAGAGAATCGTTCTCACAGTAGCATGCTAAGCTGTGGCGTGGGCAGCAAGGTGTCTCCTGGGGCAGTTACCCAGGTGCCACAGGAACTATTGAAGGATATTGCCGCTGGCGCCATAGAGAAGTTACAGGCAATGCTTGAAGAGCAGTCACCAGAGAAATGGCTTGCTGAGAAAGCAGAGTGTCAGCAGGAGAAAGAAATTGAAAAAGAAGCTGAAATTCTTGATCAGGAAGTGACTCTTGACATTTGGGATTTTGCTGGTCAGGCTGTCTACTACACAACACATCAGGTAACCCCAAGCTAGTTTCTATCTTATAGAAATTTACTTGTTTATTGTTTATAAATGTATTGTACTGCCTTACAAGCCTTATGCTTTGAAAGAGAATTTTAAAGTTCATAAATGGTTGTCTTAGGAGTTATATTTTTGAATTTGAAAACAACAATGACATATAATTAATGCTGCAAACACTTAAGCTGCTAAATGAACAATATTTATTAATAACAATATGCCTTTATAAAATTCTTTGTATATTTGTCTGTAACAATGAAACTCAGAAAAAATCATAAGCCTAAATGTTATTTTTTGTATGTGTTTGACAGACATCTTGTAAATATATACATAGCTCTTAATTGTTTTTCAATGCTTGAACATTGAACACATAACAGTACAAAACAACAGACTTAGTAAATTAAAGATCAGAATTAATGTATTAACTGATGTAAACCATATTTGATGATATATAAGATCCTCTTTTTTCTCTCAAAAAATAACTCCTTGGTCTTATGTGATATCATAAACCAGGGGTCCTAAACCTGGTCCATGAAGAATTTTTGTCTGGCCTACCAACTTAACACCTGGACACTAATTATCTAATTAATTTGTGGAGCAAATCTTAGAAAAATATCAGTTGGATTTAATCGACTTACAGTGTGATGAATTTTTTAAATCAAAATTTAATTCTGAATCCATTACTGACTTCTACAAGAAATATGTTTGTTTTGCCAAGCAGAAAATATAAAGCCTATTGAATAATGCAAAAATGATGGTATCGTTATTTGGAAGTACATATACTTTTTCGAAAATGAAATAAGGTAAAAGTCGTATAAGAACAAGGTTGGGTGATGAACACCTGGATGATGTTTTGCTCCTGTCATCAACAAATATTTTACCTAATGGGGAGAAGTTATTGAACAATAAACAGAAACCAGTGTCTCATTAAATAACTTGCCATTTCTAACTGTATTTAGTTTGTAGTAAAGAATTTGTATTTTTTGTTGTGTTAGTTGTTACCTTGTTATTCCTGCAGTAAAATAAGGAACCTTGTTTAAATAATATAACATTAACTTCATTTTTTTCTTCAAGCCTCCAGACCAAGGCAGCCTTTTGAACAGAGCTGTCTCAAATTGAGACCGTTTATTATAGAATATTTGATATCATGGCCCTCGTTCAAGACAATGCATAGCTTTCTGGCTCACTCTCTCCAAAAGTTTTTCGACCCCTGTTCTAAACATTTCATTTTTTAATATGCCTAGCTGAAATGAGGATGTTTTATATACCTGTAGTTCTTATATGCCATCAAATTTGATAGTTGCTTTTCTTCTCCCTACTGTCTAAATGTTTCTTTTTCTTTGCTGGATTGGCCAGATTACTGGATAAATTATTGAGAAGCTGGAGAGTGATTTTGCTCCAGTGTCTTAAACAAAAATCCTACTCTTCTTGTCCTATTTCCAGTTTCATTTCATCTCAACATCAAGAAACTAATTAGACAACTGAAAAGGATCAGTATAAAATAAGTAGACACAATATGCCTATATTATTCAATGAAACATGTTTGAACAAAGATATGCTGACTAGAAATATATATATATATATATATATATATATATATATATATATATATATATATATATATATAATATTAGTGGTTAATATACACATATATTATATATATACATATATATATATATATAAAATTTCCAAGAGGAAAGAATCCAGATAGAACTCAGTGTCAAGGACAAAGTAAGAATATAATAAAAAGACTTAAACACTAATATTCCATGGTTATAATTTATTACATTGGAATCGTAATCACGATCCAATATAAATATGAATTATTTTCTGATGCATAATTCATTATTGAATCACTGCCCTAAATTAAAAACTGACAATGGAAATGTGGTGACACTACACACAATAAAGAATGATATAATCTAAACTTAAAAATCAGAAGATGAGAGAGAAAAAAAAAAGAAAAAGTAAGAAAAAAGTGGGGAAGATGGGGGGGGGGCAACTAAAACCAAAGGGCATTTATAAAAGAGCCACTGTACAATCAAGAAAATTTGACAAAAGTAATATCACCTATAGGTTACAAATTTAAAATAAGCATATAAAAAATAATGAATATTTAATCTATTAAGGACCTACTATTTATATGCACAAAAACACATGCGTATATACACATACACAACAACATATTTATATTTACACACACACACATACATACATATACGCATATGAATATATATATATATATATACATACACATCCATTCCTGTGTACTTCTTTCACACACAGTAACCCCTTGTGGCTTTGTGATAAATTATATATATATATATATATATATATATATATCAAAGTATATATTGTGATTTTATAACATATTTATGTTATAATTTTTTTTAAAAAAATAATTATATATATATATATATATATTAATGGGCCAAAATACTATGATCCCCTGCTTAAGAAGATGTTGGTCCTCTATATGCCAACAAATAAAGCTCTTACCCAATGTAGTATTCTGGTATGAACTCTACAAGAATAACCAAATCATTAACTGCTGCAAGACATGTGATAGTAAACTTGTTGGTCCAATATATTCCATAAAAGGTGATCTATCATGTTGGAATATTTCACCTTCTGCTATATCTGGTAATAGGTGAGACTTTACTAATGTATTTTTTCTGTTCACTGTTCCATTAATTTTTCTCAACTTTCTTGTATCATTGCTTTTCATGTAGCCTGCAAACAATCAAACCCCCATCATTAGACTTTACTGTCTTTGTTGTATATTTTGAAAATTGTGCAAATTGGTCTTTGGGTATATTCTCTTTCATGGTTTGGTATAATAGACTTGCTCCTTTAACTAACGCCCAAAGAAAAAAAAGTCACAGTGTGTTAAATCGAGACTCTTGTCTGGCCACTCATACATAAAATAGGGAGTTACTTTTCAATCACCCTGTATATAATCTTTTGTCCATCTTTCATCATCCCATTATCCATAGCAGATATTCTTCATTTTTATTAGGAGTTTCCTAGCACCTTTTTGCTAAGACTTATGGTCACATTATGTTGAAACATTGGTTCCTATATGATCACTGAAGTTAAACAACATTGAGCCTGGTCAGTACCTGGATGGGTATCTGCTTGAAAATACCAGTTGTTGTAAGCTTGGATATGCAGGTGGTGTAACCAAGTTCCAATTCCCATTGGGTTCATTATATTCACTTACATGCAAATATCCTTGGGAAAGATATGAATCCACCTCTTCTCCCCCTTCTGCTATAGGTTAATTAGTAAAACTTGTATTAATAAACCTTTATTATCTAAAAAAAAAAAAAAGAATTCTTACACTCTAAAAATATTTTCTGGTTTTAAATATCCTGGAAAGGATTGATAAACTGTAGAAAATGATTTCAAGTAAAAAAAGAAAAAAAATTAATCTTCTTTGCTAAACAAAGAAAAAGAAATGATATACTTTTGAAATCCTTACATGCTTGACTTAAGCATTTAGCTGATAAGCTGATATCTGGCATTTCTATCAACTCCTTTACTTACCAACAATACTCTGTTGATTATTTGGGCCTCATCCCAGAGAGAGTAATATAATCATTTCTCTCTCCAGATAAGATTTGCTCTTCCAGATTTTTCCATATTGATTATAGATTTATGTTCATTGAATCTAACTTTAAGTAGATGGTTGATTTCCCCTTTACATATACTATTTCATATTTGCATGGGATTTTATAAATGCAATCTTTTGTTAAATTTTTCTGTCATAAGGGACTAATTCTGGTAAGTAATTTGAAATATTAGTAACAAAAAAGATAATGTAAAAATTGATCTTAACTTTTGAAAAGATAATGAGAACAAGCAAGAAAACTTATTGTATATACTGGTAATTTCTATTTATATTGTTAGATATTTTCTGGCCCAAGAATTTCCCCCATCCTGGGTATGATGATAAACTGCATCCAGCAGCAAGGCCTCTGATCAGGAGGTTTTGAGAAGTGTGGACCTGCCTCTTAGTTGCTGTTGTTCCCAGGTCCACTCAAACCTGGGATGGTAGCACCCATTAGCTATGGGTAAATAGTTTCCTCTTCTCCCAAACTGGTGTCTGAATACTAAGAAAGTGTAAAGATGGGTTTTTATAATAAAAATACCAGCAATAAAAATTGCAATATATAAAATGCACATTCACAAAAACCAATTCCCAAAAACTACAAATTCCACTCAATGGAGTCACCCGTTTGCCTCCAAACCAGCTGGGAGTGGTGGCGTACTCCTGTAATCCAGCTGGTTTGGAGGCTTGTTCAAGTGGACGGTTTGAGAGAGGGGTCTCTGGTCTGTGATCCACTACGGCGATCGGGTGTCCGCACTAAGCCCGAACTGACCTGGTTGATTTTTTCGTTCACTACACTGTGATGCCTGGGGATGGACTCCTGGTGACTGAGTGACTCCTGATCTGGTATAAAATGACCAGGAGTGTCCACATGTCACTTCGGTCACTACCTGAGATAGGCGGATGGATGGAATAGCCCAATCTATTCCAATTGGCTATTCACATAGTGGCAAGGGCTAGCTGGGATGATTCCAACAAGGCTGTGAATCCTTACACCATACTATACTTGGGTAGATATGGTGGGGATGTGCAGGTGCTCGTATCCACTTTCATCACAGCTATACCGTCTATGTAGCCCTGGCAGTTCAGGACGAATTAGATTAGTCCTCCCACCCATTAGTGTCCTTTAAGAAGGAACTCTGAGGTGGATGGGGAATACAGACAGTGAATACAAAAGTCAGAATTATATAGCTATCTCTTCTAAACAAACCAAGCAACAACATGAAACTTCTAAAACAGAAAGTGAAAACGAAATATCAGAAAAAAACAATTTCCAACTTTCATAGTTATAGAATCACTAGATGGTGAAATATCAAAAGTGTCTCCTTTTGTGTTGCAAAAGGTTATATTGGCCATGATTGAACCAAAATCTGTAAAAAAAAAAAAAAAAGAAAAGTAATACACCTTTAATTCAAGTAAAAACCAAAAAAGACACTGAAAATCAAATAAATAGACAGCAATAAAATAAAGGCTTACCCCCACCAATTTCTTAATTCATCTAAGAGAGTAATAAAATACCAAGAACTGTCACTCTGCTCACCAGAAGAAATTAAAAATGATGACACCCTAAAAAAGCAAGGAGTAACAGATATCAAAAGAATTCAAATAAAAGGAAATGACACATCAATAAACACAAACATATATTTTGACATTCAACAAACCTACTCTACCTAAAGAAATAAAGATAGAATACTCAATAGTCAAGGTTGAGCCACACATTCCTAATCCCTGTAGATGTCACACATATCAGAAATCTGGCCATCTACCAAATCTTTGTATGAGAGCATCAGTCTGTCAAAAATATGGTGAACATGAGTCGGATCATGAAGAGTCACCCTGTGAAAAGCTTCCTTAACTGTGAAAAAAAAAATGCTCAGCAGCCTTAAAAAGAGTATAACATCTAAGAAAAGGAAATAATAAGAATAAAATATACACAAAACATCTCATTCCAAGAAGCCAGAAAATAGGTTGAATCTTATTCAATTCCAACATCATATGCAAATATTGTTAAAATATCAAATCCCCAAAATGACATCCAAGAGAACAATGCAATAAGAAGCCAAAATCTTATAACTCTAATAAATGAATTAAAATGTCTAATGGAACTACTAAAATGTAGTATATCACACATAAATCAAACTTCTATAGACAAAATAAATCCTATCCCGTCAATCTCAAACAAAAAAAGAATCTATATGTACAAAACAATTAACTCCAAAAATTACAATCCAAAGTACAAAAATCCTTCCAGAAATTGAACTCTTTCAATGTTCCCAAGAGAATCAAAAGGTACATAAAAAAAAATGACACAACCCAGTACATCATTGAAGAATCAAGCGAAATGGACATAGATGAACAAAACTTTATCCCATCTCAAATAAAGGAACAGTTATTGTCCAAACAAAGATTGTCAAAAGAACCTAATGAAAAATCTAAGGAAACAAGATCAAACAAACAAGCAGAAACAAAAGACTTTCAAAGAACAAAACATGACAAGAAAGTGCTGATAGACTTGAGAGCATAGAAATTATTGACACTTCACCCACTAAGCATAAATCGGACAAGTAAAATACTCTTAACACCCGGGGTCAAAACACTATGGAGGTGTAAAAGTGAGTTTTATTACCAGAAATACTTTGTCAAAAAACAAAAATTATTCATTATTTCATTTTAGAATTTTACCTGATATTTGTAACCAATATTGCTTACCTGTAATTAAAGCAAAATGTTAGTTTCAGATATCCTTTTATTTTAAATATATTTTGAGTAAATACAAAAGTTTGGCCTTAAAAGCAAATAATGTATTGAAAATAAAATCCAATCACTGAAATCAGATAGTCTATCCTTTGTAGATGTATCCCTGTTATCAATCTATGTGATTGAATTTAAAAAGATTCTTTTTATTTTCAGGTGTTTCTTTCCTCCCGGGCAATATATGTCATTGTCTTCAACATGTGTGAGGATTTTTCTGCTATGACAACTGTAAAGCCTGTCAGTGATCATATACAGGTAAGTTAAATTTAAAATTTATACAGAATCAATTTCAGAAAGCAAAATCTTAATGATGCTTCATTATGTAAAACTGCCTCATCTGCATAACCAACCAAAATTAATTTCTTTTATTTCTGCCTCTAAAGTTATGTTTATATTTTTTTTTATTACTTATTGTTGTAGCATACCTACGGACAATAATGGGTATGTCCCCATTCATATAAATACAGTAGTAAATATTGTATGTTGGTCTGTAGTTGGAGATTCATTGTGGAATTCACTTGACTCACTTCTAGCAGTTGACTATTATTTCTACATGCAAATCTTATATGTGTTGTTCTTGTCCTAAGTATTATTGTTCATTACCAACCTTTGTGTAATTATTCTATTCAGTAACCTTCCCTAGGTTACAACACTTATATATCTCAACATTTGTATTAATATTTACTAATCATTTGTTTAAATTTATTTTATTCTATTTTTATCATCTATCGCCAACATCTACTTTAATAAAATTTAAGTTAATCTATTTAAAATTCAATTTTCTACTTTTGTATTATGTTTTTTGTTCTTGTATTACTATACCATCAGGGCTGGATTATTCTTTAAGATAGTATAGGCTGCAGCCTAGAGCCCCTCAAGTTTTTATAATGTTATATTGTTTCTAAATGTTATAACTTCTAAATAATTTCCTAAACTGAAATATACCAATATGACACTCATAATTTATTTTGATTTTTATAATGCTGGTTATAAAATATCTTTTATTACGGTTGTGTTGAAATATGTGCTAATTTTACAATAAATAGTAAAATAGTGGTATTTCTTAATATTTTTATTGACAAATAAAAGATAGCTATTCTAGTTTATTTAAATAATTTGCAATAAGTTGACTTCAAGCTATGTAAATGTTGTTAAAATGTTCATTTTATACACATATATTGTGTACCAGAATGCTTATGTCAATGATGTCTATTCTGGGATCATAGAAAGTTTCAGGCTTCCATGATAGCAGAATTTCTCTCCAATAGGCAAAAAGTGATCATTTCTTGATTAGCATTTTGGCATAGCTTCCACATGATTGCCAGAATTGTAACAATATTTGTACCTACTCAAATGTGATCCTTTTATTCAATGCTATGTATGAATTCTGACCAATTGGGATTTGTTTTTTATTTTTATGACTATTGATGTTTTGGCCTATCAGAGGGGCAGATTTTTTTTTGCCTTTAACCATTACTAGAAGTACTCATTCAGAATGGTGGTTATCATTATTAGCCAATGAGAAACGGGTTTTATTTGGCTCCAGACTGTCTATTAAAACTATATATCACTAGTAAAAAATGTATGTGGGCAGGAGGTGGCACCATCTGAGGAGGGCCTCATAATTTCATTAGCTTAGAGGACCCAAAAGGTCATAATCCTGTCCTGTATACTATTAATAATAATCATATTTATAAAATGTAAATATATTATTATTAGTTTTAATTAAACAAAGAATAATGGATCTGATAAAGCTTATAGTTACAATGCTATTTTTAAAATATAAAAATAGATTTCTTGGACTCAAGCAGTTAAGTGCCACAAGTGATACATGCTTGGGCGATCATGTATCTTTCAATACATGACTGATGGGGCAGATTTTTTCCTGCAGTAGGTTGCTATTTCTTTCTGTGGTAGACTGGTTGCCAACCAAGGCTAAAGAACCCAGTCTGTCCTGCTATTCAACCCATAGCTGGGGGGAGAAGAGATGGATTCATACCTTTCCTAAGGACATTTGTGCATAAGTGAATCTAATGAACTAAACTAGAATTTGAACTTGTCTCTCCAAGTTCTCACTCAGAAGCAACATCCATTACACCAAAACGCATTTCTTAGACTAGTCCTTGCTTAGCTTATGTGGAAGCCACACATAAGATATTAATATAACTAAGCTGCTGTAAATCATTTTCAGTACTTCATTTGGTTATTTTGAATATTGGCTATTTCCCATATCATATAATTGATCATCAAGTAAGAAATCTCTACCATGAATCATTGCAAACCATTTTTGATACATTTGATCATTCATATTATGTTCTTCATAATTTTCTTCTTTTTGGATTTGCATTAAATTTTTCCTTTCTTAAAAAAACATACTTAAAATATTGCTTATTTTCTTCTATTTCTTTTCCATTTTCATTGATTTTATCAATGAACAAAAATAGGTCAATTTTGACAAAGAATTTTTGTAAAACTACCCACTGATATGACAAAAACTTTTTCAATAAGTTTCCTTTTGACTGAAGTTAGTTCAAATGACAGGCTCCTGATATCACTAACAACAAAGGTAGAAGGAACTTTTTGGCCAACCTAATACAAATGAAAAACTCTAAAGATAATAATAATTATTATCACTAGTTTATACATGTCATCAAAAAAACTGTGACAATATTTAAATTATTTTGTAATTGCATTTGTTAAATTTTAATCTTACCTTAAAAAATCTAAGATGTTAATTTATACACTTGGCTCAAATGTTGTATCTAAGAAAGAATTCTAATTTTGAAATCATTAAAAATATTCAAAGAAAGCTAACATGACACAAAAGAAATAAAAAGTAACGTATTAGCAGCCTGATCTCCCCTAATTACTAATGAGTTATTGCATTGAATATGAGGCATGATTGCTTATTGGTATCATGTAATGCCTCCTGATATAACAATTTCATTATTAACCTTTATCATTCTGTATGTGACTTTATTTGCCATGCAAAAAGTTTATCCTGCCACTGAAATTTGAATTTGTTTGAATTTCAAAGCTGTGTTGCCATATCCTGCTATGGCAACAGATAACAACTTTGAGTGAAATTAATAATAAGGATACTGCAATTGAGAGACCTTGAAAAAGAATGCAGTGGAAAGGGAATTAATATTAATAATGCAGAGTGCTAAAGGTTAAGAAGGGGAGATCAGATTGTGTGGTCATAAATATAAAGTCATATTATGTTTTATATTATGAAATAGATTATAACCACAATGACAACACTAAAAATGATGATGATATAAAAAGAAACACCAATGAAAATTATAAAGATGATAACAAATAGGATCAACATCTATTTCAAGGACCTTGATTTTATTTATTATACAAGAAAATTGACCTCTTTATAGGGATAAATTTTTTATTCTTATGTAAACATTAATCCAATAAATTCAGTTTTGTTAGATAGCTACCAGGTAAAAAAAAAAAAAAAGACATATTATCCTGTTTATGCAAAAAGAAAAATTCAAAAACTGCTATACCTATTGATTAGCTATTTCAAATAGCATGTTTTAATTTGTTTTTACCATAAAGTAAATTGTTTTTCATGTTTTGTTACTTTAGTATTATTGTCTATAGTGGTTATTGAAATAACAAAGCAAATACCCTATTTTGTAACTGTTAATTTGTGTACAGCCAGTTGTATAGCTGACTCTGTGTTGTTGTTGTTGTTGTAGGATGTAGATATATTGACTGAAGAACTATCCAGTCTGGGTTACATTGATTATTGGATGAAGTCCGTCCATGTCCATGCTGCTGAGAATACAAAGAATTCAGTCACTAACACAACACTTTCACCACCAATATTTATTGTTGGCACCCATAGGAACAGTTTGAATGAAGATTTAGAGATACAGAAACAAATAGTAAGTAACCTTTTCCTTTATTAAAAAAAAAACAAAAAAAACTAATAAACTTTTATTGTTGTTGTTGTAGTAGAAGTAATAGTTAACTAAATGTATAATTAGTACCTCAAGATAATCTGTTGACTACAACCATATGGTGTGTCAACTTATGATTTGTTGTCTATTGAAACTCTCTATTCTTACATGAAAATAATAACAATTCTTTTACTTTACAACAACTTTGTGTTTTTCTTTGTTTATAAATAACTCTATTTGAGTTCACTTGTTCAATGTGTTCCTCTAGATACAATACATAACTATCACTATCAAATTAATAATAGCTCTTCTTAAGTTTCAAATTTTTTAGTTGTTTGTAGTTCATAAATATTAATTTCAAAACTAACATATGCCTTTAGCCAACACTAAGCCATAAGCAACATATAGCCAAGAGGATTAAAATGCTGGTTAAAACATATTTGGTTTCTTGGGTTGGAAGTGAGGAAAAGTCATATACACTAGTTCAGTAGTAGAAGAAACAAACAAGCAATACAAAGATGAAATAACCTAAATTGATACATGATATCACTAAATACTAAATGAGAACAATCTACCCCAAGAGGATTGAATAAAGGATTTAGTTCAAAATTTCAAGGAGATTAACAACTACAACAAGCAGCTGAAGGAGAATCTGTATACATGTAAGGATTTGAAAACTTTGTTATTAGGTTAGGAGTCATCGTTTCAAGTTAAGGCGTTGATGAACAAAATCTGAAAGTGTTGAAATGGTTGAGAAAATAAACAAACAAAAGTGTGAAACAAAAGGAGATAAAATATTTATTCATTTAGAACATTTTCACATAGAGAAAATTTAGAGGATAATTTCTGAAAGAAAGTGTAAATTCAAGGAATATTCTTAAGAGTGTTTCTATAAAAAGGGTGAAGAAAAAATTGAACTTACTCTGTCAGTGAATTAGATTGTTCTCATTTAGTATTTAGTGACATCATGTATCAATTTAGGTTAAGTGTAATGTCTATGGTAGTGGTCCCCAAATGTTTTGAGCCATGGACTGGTGTCATGCAAAATAATTTTTCATGGATCCTGTCTGTGTCGGTTACATAACAAAACATGATAAACAAGACTACAATAGTCAATAAAATGAGGGAAAAAATTTGTTATTCTTCCTGTGCGGCCAAGTACGAAATTGTTCACAGCCTGGTACCGGATGGTCCACTGCCTGGTGGTTGGGGACTGCTGGTCTATGCCATGCATGTCTATTGAACAGAGGGCTAATTTTAGCGTCTTATCCCAATCTTGGGCTAGCCTCTTGGAATTTCAAACATGCATACTCCAAGTTTTTTTTTTTTTTTTTTTTTTCTTATATATATATATATATGCATGCCCAAAAGCTGGTTACTGCTGTTGAGAAGGTTATCAATGCATGCATATCTAGTGAAAAGTTTTAACATCTGCTACAAGCTCTTCAGTAGCCTTAACATAGAGATGAATCTGAGATTAAGAAAGAAGGGACACTTTCAAATTCCACCATCTGATTGCATACATTAGATTTAAGGTTTCATTATTACACTACTGGATTGTCCAAGAGACACATGGCATAGTGTTATAGAATATTTGGTTTCAATCCCTGGGTTGAGTAATGCTGAAAAGTCATATACACTGATTCACTGGAAGAAATGGGCAAGTGACTCAAAGGCAAACAAACTAGAGAGAATTAACATCTACAAGATTTCCTCTAAACATGCAAAGTGAAATGAGAACATGGACTGAATAAGGTGTCCAGTTTAACATTCAGAGAGTGTTATCAATTATGGAAGACACCTGAAGAATGCCAGAGTGTACTGTGGAGTGAGTAGCCAGTCAAATGCAAAATAATTAATGGAACTGTCTAACAAACAGAATTGACAAAGTTTGCAATAACAAGAAAAAGAAAAGAACAGGGCAAGAAATAATATAAAGCAAGCAAACAATACAGGATGCGATGGGTAAATTGTCACCATTTTATATTTTTAATTTTGTGCATTTTTTGTTGTCAACTGCACAGTATAATAGGGTTAGTTGGCCACCATCTGTAAGAAAATGAGCACCATGAAACAATTCACTCTGCCAGAAAGTTGGAAATGGCATGCTGTATTGCTTGGCATTCATGCCAAAAGCTCCAATATGAACATTTCAGCATGTTTGTGTCAATCTGAGGACAGTGCAGAGGATTCAGAAAGAGTTAGATGAGTCTAATGGTGATTATGAAGGTATGGCAGCTCAGAAAATTCACTCTGATCTTTCTGATAATAAAGGATCTCTAGAATTTGTTGGTGAAGGCTTCAGACTCAACACAAACACCTACAAAAAGTGCCTTAAGGTGGTAGTACTGCCCTGGGTCAAGACTGTGGCTGCTGGAAGACCCTATGCTTGGCAACAGGACTCTGTACCATGCCACACAAGCAGGAGAACCCAGTCATACCTGTCAGACAATTTCTGCAACCACATCACTCCTTACATCTGGCCAATTAACTTCCCAAACTGCAACCCCCTTGATTATTATGTGTGGGATGCAGTTGTGTGAGAGACCAACAAAACTCTTTGTAACACCAAAGATGAACTGAAGGTAAGGGTTATGGCAGCATTCACCAACTTAAACAAAGAGGCAGTTCAGAAGAGTTGCAGAAGATTCTGAAATTGTCTGGAGGCCGTGGTTGAAGCCAGTGGTGATTTTATTGAATAAATTTACTCTTTAGTATGTCAAGATATTTTTGTGTAATTTTGGTTAAAATGAGATGTCAGTGTTATTTTCTTTTTTGCGTAATATGGCAAAAAGTTCACAAACTAAGAATTGGGACTGAGTCACAAAATCAAGTTGAGACAAGCGAATGTAACATTCTGACTTCAGGACAGACCAGGACTGTGTCGGGTGAAGCTGAGGACCAGCCTATTTTATTGGCTCAGAAAAAATCCCTGCATGCATTTGTGTGTTTTTGCCTATAAAATGGTGAGGGTAAGTGTTTTTCAATCATCCCTATGGATTGAAACCAACAATTACTGAAACATGAGTATAACCAATATAAGAATGCTATGTTGGAATAGAAAGCCATGTAATAATGATCATTTCTCATCTAAAAAATTCTGACATAAATTAAAATTAATTTTGCTATTAACATTTATTTGAGGTTTATTATAAAATTCAGTTAGTAAATTCAAGTCAAAGCAAGTCTGAAGGAAGAATTATATTTTTTCTGTACACTTCATACAAATTTGGTTGTGAGGTTTTATGTTTATTTATATGAAAAATATGTAGCAATTGAACTCTGATTAAGTCAGATTAGACATGAAGCGCCTAATGACCTAAAAAAGAAAATATGCCAAGAAAGTAGTACATGTTCTAGTAAGCCATTGATTTGTGTAAATATAATTTTGATATGTTTTGGTTAGAGATTTAAAACTGATGTTCTAAATCAACATATTGAACCTGAAAATTAACCATTGTGTGATTGAATATGTTGATTATGTTTGGTTTACTCTCTTGATTACAATGAATTCAATGAGGTTATTTTTCTTTTTAAAAAATATCATCGAAAGGCCTTCTGAAATTCCATTCTAACTTTTGAGCTTTCAAAGCTACGTGTTCATGAAATCAAGGTTGATTTCCAGGAATCTATGTTCAGGCAATTTAAACTTGTTTCTTAAAGCTTTTAATAAAGTAGGAATATCCAGTTGGTTTAATCAAGTGCATTTTGTTTCTTTCAGTTTATATCCTTCCATTTTGTCAGTTTTTTTTTCTAGGTCAGTGAAAAGGCTGCCATATTGAAAACTTTTTGATATTTTACTGATAATTGAAATTGTATTTCATTTATCTTTTAAGGAGATAATTTTTTTTAAACTCCAATAATTATAAATCATTTGTGATTTATCAACAAAGAGGGTTTTCCTTCCAAAATCTCTGAGTTTATGATTAGAAATCTATTTTTTTTTTTTTTTTTGCCTCAGATCAAAGGAATTGAAATATCAGTATAACTGAATGTATTACATAAATTTATTTTATAAAACAATTTTTGATTCCTCCCTGGTTTATCTATTGTGCTATCTGCAATTACAGAAAGTTTGTTATTTGACTGAAATAACATAGATTATCATTTGAAATTAATTAAAAATAATTGTTGGGTGTTATTGATTTTATGATGCTAAAGGAATTTTTTTTAATACTTCAACTTAGTGAAAGAATAAAGAACTCAACAGTTGAGTGGCCATGAGAAAAAGGTTTTTCTTAATACATTAGTATGTAATATTATAATTATTAATACAAAAATATAATTAAAGTTGTGTTTATTTTGTGCATTTTATAAAACCTTGTATTAATATTACGTTTTGTGCTGTTGGTCAGAATATTTGAAACAGTATTAAAATTGTAAAAAAATGTAATATGACAATTTCTAACTCATTTTTACCAGGTGTAAACAGCTTCTGATAACAATAAGACTAGCTATAAAAGAAAGGTTCAGTATCTATTAATTAGTATTGATTTAAATGCTCTTGAAATTATTATTTTAGATATTAAATTATATGGATATTGTTGCCAAGTCTTAAAATTTAAGCTGATCATTTATCACTATTGTTTCATTTCAGGAAATCTTCTCTAGCCTCTAAGCTAGATAATAAAAAAAATCAAAAGCAATAATTATTTTATTTTTATTTTTTATTTTTTTATACCATCTTATAAAAATTTTATTCCCTACCAAATCTAAGTTCTTATGCCAGACACAAAAACTTAGTAGGAATAGCAAGTCATAATAGGTGCAAATTGCAAAATAAGACTCAACCACTGTGTAAAATTTTAAAGGAAAAACATTTATTGCACAAGTATGAAAAAGGTACAAATACAAAGTTTACACAAAAAGAAATTTTTGTGCACCTATTTAGGCAAGATAACAAACTTCTGATAAAAAGGATTACCATTGAAAAATGGAAAAGAATTAGTTTGGGAAAAGACAAGAATTTTGAAAAAGACAAAAAGAGAAAATAATTCAAGGAGGCAGAAGACAAAGGTGCAACATCCTTTCAGAAAAAAAAATGAAAAACCCCTACTTTTACTTGCTCCATGAGCATCTTTAGGACATATAGTAACTTTTGAAAAGTTCCTTTTAAATTCATACTTTTCATGCTTGGGAAAATTTCTTGGAATTCTTTTCATTCTTTGTTGTCCAACTGCAGAAGAATTTTCAAACTTCAAATTTAGTCTTTCAGCAGCTGGCTGGTAACTGTTGCCTTCTTCACCTTCATGTTGATTTGCCTTGTCTTCTGTCAAAATGTCTTCTCCCTCATCTACTGATGTGAGCTCTATTTATTCTGTAAAATAAGCTCACAAGGCCCACATTCAGGTTCTTACAAGGGCTTGAGACCGCATCTCTCATTGGCTAGTATATATGAAAAAAATCATTTTCCCTAGACTAGAAATGGATCCTTCATAAATTTTGTCAGGTTTTAACTGCTGAGCCAAAAAATATATACAAGTATAACAATTTTTTACACAAACCATCTGGTCTTCATAAAAATACACTTCTCTCAAAAGAACATCTAAAAAAATATGCCTAAATGATTAAATATTTAGTCATGGCTAACATTTTAAAAGTAGTAAAAATAAAAAATTTTATAATCTTCATGGTAATCTTTGATAATGTTTCTATACCTAAACCAGCCATTCAATTTTTTTTTTTTTTTTTTTTTTTTTTTTTTATTATCGTCCCCAGTTTGTTGTTTCTTTTATTGGCATGACCACAGGTAGTACTTAATGGCTTTATTCAGTCTTAATACAATCAATATTTTCATCACAATATCTACTTGACAGACCGCAGCTCAAAAACTATTAAGCTTTTGTTGGTGATAGCGTATTATGGCAATACCCCAGTGTTTAAGCCAAGGCAACTATTTATCTTTTTCATTGAGAAATGGCATTGACAAAAGCTTTCTTGGTCTGTATCTCTGAATAAATAAGATAATAGATTTGTATTCAACTCCTGACAGATAATTTCATTAAAAGTAGACCTTGGTAGTTGTTTTCCAAAAGTGGTGACAAATTTAACATTTAGATGACTTTTCTTCTTTTTTTTTTTAAACCATGTCTTTTCAAGATGTAGACAATCATGGCTCTGTACAGTTTTCCTTTTTTTGTTACCTTACATATTTATTAGTCTACCATTTGTCCTTGCTTTGTTGCTACATCTGGTCTGGTGCTCCTACTATGTATTTAGAGATTCTCAATAAAATCCAAAGAAGCTGCATTGTTATTAATCCTGACCTGGCATCTTGACTTCAGTCTCTTTTTCCACTGCCAAAGCAAAACTTCCTTGTGTCTTTTCTATAAATACTTTCATGGTAATTGTTCTGATGAATTTTCTTCTATGGTAGCCAGACTATGAATTTATGCACAATAGATTTGCAGCAAGGTCTCATCATTTTACAGTTGAACTGTCTAGGTGTAACTAAGTTCTATGCTAATGGTATCTTCTATCGTACTTCTTGCTTGTGGAACTCTCTTCTGACTTCTTGCTTCCCAGTCAACTTTGATCTTCAAAAATGTAAATGCAACGTCAATTGTTATCATCTGACTTCTTAATTCCTATTCTTTTATTGTCCTCTCTCCTTAATAATAGTTTTTCTCATATTCTCTAACACTCACTAACCTCTTGTATCCTAGTAGCTTTTTTGCCTTGCTTGGGGTGAAATAATTTTAAAAAATATCTATAAACTGTGCATTGCCATAAGTGATCTTTTGAAAAAAAAGTCATTTCCATCTTGCTTTCTTCTCCATGGTTTTGAATTTAGAGTTTTCCTTTTCCTAAGCTGGCTACCAACCAAAATTAGAGATCCCAGCCTGCCCTGCTATTTAATCCATAGATGGGAGGGCATTTGTGCAACATGAATACAATAGCCTCAACTGGAATTGCCTGTGGAGTCCATTTTCCATGTCAGTAACTGTTATACTGTCTACATATCTACAGGTGATCTGTAGGGGTAGTAAAAAATATATTAAATATATACCATTTATAATACTATTGTAACTGTTTTTATGCAAGTATAAAAATATATTCTTTGATAGTTTCTTTAAAAAAAAATAGAAACATTTAAAGAATGAAGACTGTTGTGCTCTTTAGTGAAAAAGGTAAACTAATTAGATTGATCAACTATATGTTAAATATACAAAATGAAGAAATAAACATAGCTAATTTTCTTGTGCCACCTGCCATAATATATTCTTTAGTTTGGAGCTTCTCCAAAAATATCCATTGATGATAGGATTGTTGATGAGAAGTGAATGTTTTTATTGCAGTAGTCTTTGTACCTACAGTAAATTTAGTAGAACAAGTTTACAGTATTATCATACATCTAGCTCACATTTCTACCAGTATTTGTTAAAACCTTAATTATCTGGGGGAAAATGACTAGAATGGTTATTTGAACTTTAGATTCAGTTCCAAGGATTATGCAGAATTCATTTTTTGTTTTTAAAGTTGTAATAGTGATAAAACATTAATTTTTTTTAAATAAAATTTCAATTTTATGACAAATCCAGGTTAGGCCAAAAACTGTTCATTAATAAAAGCTGTTTTCATGTGTTGGCTGATTCAAAAATAAATATATAAGCTTTCTTAAAAGAATATTTTGTTTTACATGAAATAATGGTCGTGAAACGGTACATACTCAAAATAAGAGAGACTAGTTGATTTGCAATGCAAGATAATATTTATTAAACAAAATTGACAAAAGGAAAGTTTAAGAGTTTCTATTTCTAGAAGTAAATTGCATACACAAGAAAATCTTAATGTATTTGTGTGTGACTTGCCTGTGTTTGTGTGTGAAGTGTCCACAGCCCTTTTAGCTTCAGTGTAAAAAGTTCATGTCACACATTTCAAAAGGAGGAAAACTGAAAGGTTTGCATTGTTTTTATACCCCAGGACTGCTGCTGATACTATGTTTATTAAGATACTACACTGTTATCTTGATTTCCTATACAAACAGTCATATTCTAATTTAGCAACTTTTCAGACTAATATCCTTGTCTTTATCTTTTAACAGAATTACATTTAGGAAGATTTTTGATAATCTTCAAGTAACATGTTTTTCAAATTGTCATTAACCCAGTTACATTGATATTCATTTTATATTGCAAGATGTGTTATCAGTAAGTTGAAAACTCATATTTATATGACACAAGCAAAATTACATTGAAATTATAGCAATTAGTGCTTATCCCTTCTATATAGATGTCAAACAGGGCATCAAATCTATTCAGAAATATCTAAACTGTCTCCTCTATACAACCATTTTCTAAGATCAATGGTTAAAAATGACTTTGAGGAAGCCTGCAGATCTTGGCGAAGACCACCCTTCTTCAGACCTTGTGGAATGGTGCTACAGAATCACAAACAACTTTACCAGATAACAGAAACAATATCACTTGAGGACTTTCAACAGCAGCGACATCTAAAATAGATATCACATGTAAACTGAAGAGAAAATAATGATATAATCAAGATGTTGACGTTCCATGTTACTTCAAGAAAAGGTTAGGAAGGAAAACCACATTGATAACAGCTACTGAACTTGGGAAACCAATCTTGGAAAATTGTTTTAAGAGAAAGATTTTATAAATTTCAACTGTCAGTAGTACAAGCTGCTTGGTCAGTTAATGTTTCCTTATAAGGAAATGGCTATTATTATCATTACCATTACCAAGTGGATTTATTTCTTTGGTGACTTAAAATGCCCTACTATCCATCCCCTTTTTATCTTAGACCCTACTAATTCTCATTCTTATGAATCAACTCAGTCACTACTATCTTCATTCATATAGAACTTTTTGTTTAGATTGTCTGAAATTTATTACTTTTCTTTGAGAGATGTTTACTGTGAAATGAAAAATCCTCTTTTGGTCTTTTTCTTTCAGCTTAGATCAGTTTGCATACATTTTTGTCTATGAAATAAAACATACTATTACAAACAATACATATTATACATATTAGTAAAGATAATAAATGTTTTTATCTTTTATTTCAGGTGGAAAAAAAGTTTGGTCAGTTGCATCAGTTCTTGGTTGGTAAACCTTATTATAAACATATCGTGAAGCCTTTCTTTGCTGTAGAAAATTGTTTAAATGAAGGCGAAGACATCCAGGTAAATGTACACACTATTGCTTTTATTAATTTTTGTAAAAGACTTCATGTGTAACAGTTTGGACAGATAAGAAAAATAAAAAAACAAATCAAAATAAAATGATTTCAATAATAAGAATAAATAATACTGTCAAAATAATTCACTTTTTGGCAGATCCATGTGGTTATGTATCATGTTAACATTGACATGCTGGACAACAGTGAAAGTGAACAACTAGATAAAATATATTGTGTGCTTATCTGTAGCAACCCATGGTGAAGCTAACTCTGATTGCTAGTAGCCATAAGCACTATGCTTTATTAAAATGCAATAGGACTCTATAAATAATTACAAGAAAATTAACTCCATACATCACATCTCTCCTCTCAAGATATTATAATGCTTATTATTGACTATAAATATTTATATAGTCTGTTACTAAGATATGATGCATGAACAATCATAGAGGTAGACTAACTTCATGCTCCTAGAATTTGCATTATTCTGGCGATTATTAAATTTCTGTTCTGTATCTGATGAGTTTGTTTATAATGTGGTCACTTCTTGTTACAACTCTGCCAGATTCTGATTGTGGCCTGATTGAAGGGATCTACTTAACAATGTCTAACAGTCGGTTCTTCATAGTTGAATTCATCAGGTATGATTGCTGATCTTTAGTTGTCATTCTCTCTTGACAGGTGTATGTGTCATCTATTTCTTTTATATGTTTGTCCTGATGCAATTGTGACAATGTATGATCTTGATTTGTTATATTTATTAGTGACAATTATTGGTTCCCAAGTTTTGTCATCTAATGCAATTTTTATCACATATGCAATCACCTGGCTTCAACAATGCAAATTCTTTTTCTCTGTCAGTTGTAATATTTCTGCTACTGTTTTTGTTGAATGTCTTTTAATAATAAATGGGTTTTCTATCTGTAGAAAGGTTTAACAAGGTGATGTGGACAATTGCTCATGAAAATTTGGGCAGGAGATTATTTATTGCTGTATTTCTTAGTTTTAGCTATAGGTTCACAGCATTTACCTCCAATCTTTTCAACAGTCTTAAATCCACAAATGCATCTTTTGTCAGGATTGGTGAAACTTTCAGGTGAATAACTTGAAATGTCATGTATTTTATCCTTGTTGTTGAGAGAACCTTTCAGTTTTACTTGACTTTCAGGTTCAATGATGTTTGCTGTATGTTTTCAGTTGGACTTTAGTTGTCTGTAGTGGACTGGTGTAAAATGGACACAATACATTTTTGGGTATTATATTGGGTTCTGCTGCAGTGTCCAGCTTGAAATTAATAGTTGTAGTGTCATTTTTACTAATATCTCTTCTGTCCAGTTGGATGTCATTGCATTAATGTGTTGCCATCTAAAAATAGATAGCAATATGATGAGTCATTAGTTTCTTTGGGGCTCATTTCTGGTACATGTTGTGGTTTAGAGCAGCACATGCTGGCAAAATGGCATTTTCCACATGTTTATCTATAACCAAGCATTGTTTCTGGTGACATTTAGGGTTGCTGTTCTGATATTGCGATATTGGGTTTTTCAATTATCCCATTTTTTTATTTTCCAGTTGTCTGTTTCACATTACTGCCAAAATTGACTTTTCTTCATTTATACTTTTGCCTTAGTTTGTGCTAACTTCAATTGCTTGACATTTGTCTATTGTTTTTTAACTGTAAGTCCTGAGCCCAATTCAAATTGAGCTTGTCAAATACAATCTTTAGCCTTTAGTTTTATATAGGTACCGCTGCAGAAAAGGGATACTTAAGTATAACATTGTGGGACATCCTGGTCCCTGTGCTAATGACAATGTCATCCTGTTCTCAGCCATCAAGTGTGTTTGTGATTGAATCCTGTGGCTAACCGTAGAGTTGGTCACTTCAATCCAAGCCTTTCCCTGTCCCATGTGTTTGTTTTGATCACACGGCAGGCAAGGACCTAATTGTCGCCAGATATTGGTGGATTGGTGTCATTCAGGCAGGACAGTGTTATAAGACAAAAAAAATGAAAAGAATGTTCTGCCCAGTCATACTAATCCTGGTTGCTTAACAGATGTTACTTCACTCCCCCAACTTCATCCCTTGGGCCTCACTTTAACCAGATGCCCAAGTGGATTTCTGCACTATCTTCTAGTGAGGCTCTTTATACACGAAATGGGAAAAAAAATAAAAGTATATTTCTTTTTGGTATGTCTTTTAATCTATCTACGACCCTCTTTGCTTTTGTGTTCACTTTTTTTCTCTCTTCAAATTATCAGCATTCTTACAATGTCACATAAGGTTTAAAATGAATTTTTAAAAATAACTTTTATTTTAGTTTTTAATTTCAATTTAATTGATTCAATTTAATATTTCCAATAAGCAAAATACTTCTATAAATATTTTCATGGTAATTGTTTTGATGAGCTTAACTCTTTATTACCTCAGCTTTATGAATTTAGGTGTACTACTAGATTGGCAGCAAGGTCATTTGACAGTTGAAATAGTTAGATGTAACTGTAAATTCTATGCTAACAATTTTTTCTCTCATACTTCTTGCTTCTGGAACTCGCTTTCAGCTTCTTAATTCCTGTTGTTTTATTCTTCTCTCTTAATAATGTTTTTTTTTTCTCATATTCATTCACTCTGTAACCCATGCATCCTCTTAGTGGCTTTATTTCCTTGCTTGAGGTGAAAAGATTATATATATATATATATATATATACACACACACACATTTGTGATACCTAAAGTTTAAAGTAAATTTTTAAAAATAAAACAATCTTTCTTAAGGGTTTTATTTTAATTTTAAGCTAATAGATTAAATTTAATATTTCCAATAAGCAAAATATTTTGCTGTATTTTAAAACTAATTTACATTGACTGGAAGACGTTTTTGTTTTGAAATTGCTGATTTTAGCACCATTTTTAGCCATCTGCCATCACAATGTAATTCTCTGAATTAAAAAATCTTTGAAAAATAAAATGTTCCTTTCTGAAACTTTATTTGAGTAATAATAGAATTATTTAAGTTCAATTAATCTGATTTGAAACAAGTATTATTTTTGGTTTAAAATATCACAGAAATGCATTTTTTATCATAAAGGATGGTGTTTATTTAAGTTGTTGACACCTTGACTGACAGACATAAGTTTATCTAATTTTTTTCTATAGTGGACATATGTGTAAAAATTACTTGGGGAATATAATGTGAATGCTTTTATTATATAATTTTTAACAACTCAGTAATCTTAAAAATTTAGGAAAATATTCTCCGTATTCTAATATTTTATTGAATTTTAAGTACTTTGACTGCATTTAATGAAAAAATGCGAAAAAAGAAAAAATCAGTTTCAACACAAATTTTAAACTAAAACCTCCCTCAATTTTCAAGCAATCTAATACAGACTTCACCCAATTGTAGCCAACAATAAGTTGATTGTTAAACAGTCATTTAACTTGATAATTGAGTCCACCCATATATTGAAAACCCATGTAATTAGTGAAAAATGGTGATTTTTTTTTACTGGTTTCTTATTTTTTTTTATTGATCTTTCAACTAATTTTCATCAAACTTAACAATTGCTTTATAAATGTATCTTCTTTTACATCCCTGGTAGCACACTGACAAATTGAATTTCAAAAACTACAAAATAATTGTGGTCTGAAGTATGTCTTCATGTTGCCTGTTTTACTCCATCATGTCCTCAGCTAACTTCAATTGAATAAATACAGACTATTTCTGTTATATCAGTAACTGCATTAATTCAAAATGTTTTTTAATGAAAATAGTTTAAAGTAATTGAAGAAGATAGACTCTATTACATCCAAACATGATGCTGTTTTTGCTTCATTCTAATTGAATGCTTTTTCGGATTGACCAGCTGGGTATGACTGCTAGTTAATAAAGTAACCGATACAAATTAATACAGCAATTTAAACGATTTAAAATTTCATAAATCACCGTAATTAAAATTTTTAAAAATTGAAACAATTCTTGTAAAAATTCACTATTTATTGAAAAAAAATTTTCTTAAGGCAATTGTGTCCATAATATATCTTATTCATAAAAGCAATTAAAAGTTTTTCTAATTAAATAATGTCTTAGTTTTATTGCATTTTTATTTGACAATTCAGAACAGATTTACAATAATTGGGGGTACAGTTTTACAAAAAAAAAATTAATGATTTAAATTCTCCAAGGAACTCTGTATATAACTAATATAAACATTTAGTAGTCCAAAATTTAATTTCTCAAAATTTCATAAAATCAGATACGTAGGGATAACAGATGTAAAAAAAAAAAAAAAAAAAAAAAAGTTTTTACAAAGATTTTCTAAAAAAGAAACATTTCTAAAATAATTTAATTCATTTGTGAATAAGTACTGAAAGTTTCATTAAAATCCAACAAATATTTGATTTTTTTTCAAATATTTCCAAATCAATGTATTTTTTATTGCAATAAAGACGCTAAAATTTCATACACCCATCTTTTTTTCCCGACCCCCTAACAAATGCGCACATACACAAACACACACTACTGACACAAAAAACAAGATTTTGAATCAAATTTTCAAACAATTTTTAAAAAGGATAAAAAAATATAATTTAATAATCAAAAAATTCTTTGGTCTTTTCTCTTAATAACAAAGATTTTGACAATAAAACTTTGTTTCTATTAAGTTTAAGAGATTTTTTTTCATTGTATGCTCATTTTTTATTGAATTTATGGAGATACCTAGTTTTATATCAGTCAGAAATGAGTTGAATATTTGTTGGACTTGTGGTCCAACCACATCTAGAAATGGGGCAACTTTTATTTACATTTATTTTCTGTTATGCCAGCAGCAAGCAAATAAAAATTATATTCTTCCCAAATTTTAATTTTCATTCAGGATTCTTTTAAAGTTGAGGTTCTTTGGTGGTTTCAAACTCACTTTCCTTTTTTATTTTTTGTTTTTAATTCTGGTTTACTCTTCTGAAGTTATTTCAAGGTATCCACTGTTCTTTATTTGATCATCAATTCTTTAGTTTGTCACTTGAATTATCCATAGTTATTTTTCTTCTCATTTTTAGCTTTTCTAAGCTGAACCAATGTTTTGTTCTTTTGTCATGTTTGTTTCAGTTTCTGACAGTCATAATTATTCATTTTTTTCCTCCACTTTGTTGGACTCAATCCATTTTTTGCATTGATTTTTAGATAGTTTTTCATCTTTTGTTGTCTAAAATTGTTAACCTGTTGTTCATCTGCAATTTTGGTTTGGTAATCTTCTTGAAGCTATCAAGTTTTTCAGTATTTAACTTTACCTCTGCCCATATTAAATTGTTTAACTATATTTTCTCTTTAAATATATTGTGGTAATTTATTAATATTCTGTAGCAATGAAAATAGTCACTTACCCTGTCAAATGAAACATCTGTGTATTGTCTGCCAAAAATGATTTTAAAAAAATTGTATTTCTAGCCATTTCATATAGAAGTCATCAAATTTTGATCTGACCAACAGTGAATGTCTCTGTTGTGTATATATGCACCTACATTTGTGTGCCAAGGAACATATTTTTCTTGTGTGTGTACATATGTATTTTGGATTTTGCAAGTATTGGTCTTTACGAACGACACAAATCCTTCCACTTACACTATTTCTGTTTTAACTTTTCTGTTTTTCTTGTCTGTGTCCCTCAAGGATGTTTCTCTTCCATCATTAGATTATTATAATAAACTTCTCATGAATTTAGAAATCTAAACACAATTTTGAAAGAGAAACCACTACCAAGAAGTTAATAATCATTTAGCCCTCAATTTCTTAATATTTTTCATATTATAAAACTATTTTCAGAAATGAATTGCATCTTGCAATTATTTTTCATTTATGATAGTGTATGTATTTGTGTCTAAGCTGACTTCATGTATAGTGTGGCCTCTGAATATTTTGCATCAATTTTAACCCACTGCAGAAAAACAATTTACCTGTGTATAGTGCAACCAGTCACCAAAATGCATGATTTTTAACCTTTTCAAAAAAATTACCTGTGTATAGTGCAACTCTCTTATTTTGTGTAAAAAAAAAAAAAAAACTGATCATAAAGTTGCATTACACTCAAGTATATACAGTACATAGGCATGCAGACAAGGTTACAATGAGGATTAACAAAATGATTGTAACTTTCCGACCCAACTGGTATCCTTTTAACTTGTTCTATCTATTCACTTTCAGATATGCCATTTACGAGAACAGATCCAAAAGTCAGCCTTGCAAGAGCTGTACATGGGAGAGCAGATTCCAACACGATGGCTTCAGTTTGAGCAAGTCATTACACAGCTGGTTGAAAATTCTAATAACTATGCATGTGTAGATCAGGTGAGAGATCAGAAAATAAATTTCAAATTTTTTTTTTTTTTTTTTTTTTTTTAGAAATCCCATGTTTCTTCAGTATTAAGGAAATCATAACTCTACACAAATTCCTTTTCTTTCTTATTTGTGAATTGCCATGACATTCTGGAAAGACAGGCAGTTTCCCATTTCCTTTTGGTTTTTAATTCAGAATAGTCCTTCACCTAGTGTTTGTCACATAAGACTAGAGAGTTAAGTCTACACTGCTATTTAACCTTTACTTGGAAGGGGATGACTTACACATCTCCAAAATTCAAATATGAAGTAAAAAAATTAATTTGTAAGAAAAAGTAATACTTTATCTATCTATATATAAAATTCTGTAACTTACTTTAGTCTGTCTGTTCATCACACCCTCTAAAATAGCCACACATTGACTGATTGAAACCAAATTTTGGAGAAACAGGTAAGGTAGTACAAAGTACAGTTGGTTTTACTCAGGTGCATAGCTTAATAAGTTTTAATTCATTTTTGGGGGAAAAATTAAAAGTTTTATTATTTAATATACAAAATACTCCCACTATTTTAAAAACAATTTAATGATTAAAATAACAAATACTTATTGAATAAAAATGCAATATTGTTTGTTGCATATCTTTTAAGTTTTTATATATATTTCATGACTATTCTCCAATGTACCTCTAAATTCTTGATTGCATCTTTAAAAAATTTCTCATCCTTTGATGTGATAAACAGTTCAAGTGCTTTGATTACCTCTTCCTTATTGGAGAATGTTTTGCATATGAAGAGTTCAAAATGTTTAAATAAGTAATAATCAGTAGATGTATTAGGTGAATATAGAGGATGAGACAAAATTTCATAGTTCAGGTGATTCAGCTTTTGGACACTTGAGAAGCATGCAACCATGCGTCAAAATTAGGCCATCCCTATTCACAAGTCTAGGAATTTTTTTTCAATTTTTTAATGCATACACTCAATTTCTCTACAATATGAGGTTGCTGTTGTTTTCCCTTGAGGCAATAATGAATAACCCTTTTGAAAGACCAACATACAGTAACCATTAACTTTTTAAGTGCAGTGGAGCTTTTGATTATTGTTTTGGTGATTCCCTTGCATCTAACTACTGGCCTACTGTTGTCAAAGAGTATCCATTTCTCATTGGTAGCTCAATTAGCAACAAAGTTATGACTATTCAAAGTTCATCAGTTTTTCATCTCATTTTCTCATTGCATGTAATGATTTGATACAAAAATGGTTCTTTTTCTCAGTTTGTACTCATACAGTAAGATTACTTGACATTGTTTCATTGGGCTTATGGGTAACAATATATTGAAAGAAAAATTATCTGGAAAAAAGAGACAGGAATAAGTTAAGATTTTTTTATATTCTAAGGTGGTTACTTTGTTAAACAACCGGATCAACAACCAAATATTGATTGGAATAGACTGAACAACGGATTATTTGGACATGAGCAAAGTGTACAAAAGAAAATCTTGACAAAATGTTTTTGTTTCATCCATTCTAGTTCAATAAGCTCTTGGTATAATTATTTGACCTTACAGAAGTGTAATGCATTGTTCATTACCAACCAAGTTATGGCAAGTTCAGGATGGTATACTTCTGTTTTTGCCCTACTATCAATTTGTGCTACTGCTTTTTACATGGTGTAAATATGAGTATTTTTTATTGCTGTACTGCTAAAAACTTTAGCTTTATCTCTGCTGCTATGAATCATAGCAAAAAGTTGCAAGGCATTAACTGTTGAAATAAAACTTAAATGAGCAATCAAAATTGCCCATCTGTGTCATTTTTTAAGTATTTCATTTTTGAGAATGCAGTTTTTCCCAAAGTTTAGGCTGACTTGATCTAATAATTATTGATTCCATTAGTATTCTATTTCTTTTACTTCAAGACTACCTGTATAATATTACATTTATAATGATTTTTCACTTGTTTGAAGCCTGTAGTTTCAGTTTATACATTGTTGAAATTTGCTTCTGACCCAATCTGTTGAAATTTGCAGATGAAATTTGAATGATCATAACTTTGTTGCTAATTGAGCTAACAAGATAGATTTGGTACCATTTTTTTTCATGTTGAGCTCTCTATGCTTGTATTAAACATTTTTAGATATACTGAAAATGAAATTTTAGATTGGGATACCTAATCCATTCATTGTATTTGAATATCTCTTAACTCATTTAAAGCTAAAGAAAACACCATGCTTGTCCATTGTTACTGAAATCAAACAGGTTTAATAAATAGTAATAAAGTCATAAAGAAGATAACTGATCATAAAAACTATTTAATCATTTTGAAAATTTTTGCTTTTTCATTACCAATTGATCTTATTTACTAATTATTTGTGCTAATAAAAAAAACTATTGGTATAATTTTTTTCCCCAGATAATAGACTTGGCATTTGATCTGGGCATTGAAGACCATGATGAAGTCCAGACTATGCTTGAGTTCTATCATGACCTTGGCTTGATTGTTTATTATGGTGGAGGCTCAATTACAGTGGATAACATTCTCCAAAACTTAGTCATCCTAAGCCCCCAGTGGTTAGTTGACATGTTTAAAAGAATTATTACTGCACGACAGCCAGCTGATCTGGTGAGTTATATTCTTATTTACACATCTGCATTTACTTATGATACTTTGAAATATTTGATGTTTATTTGATGCCATCTATGTTTTCTTCTAAAATAATTCTTTCATCATCATCATCCTTCGACCTCCCTATGGTTGGTTGGAACTCCATTGATAATCCCTTTCCACACTGTTCGGTCCTGTATTGCTGTCCCCAGATCCCAAATGTCCAACCCTGAGTCCTAAGCTATGGTGTCTGGGGAAAGTCAATTTTTGTGAGAAGACACTTCCAGAAGGATGCCATATGAGTAAGGATGAGATGACTTCCAGGTCTGCTCCATGGCAGTAGCTGGCCAACTGTAGTCATTTTTGCTTGATTATAAGAGAGATTGGTCTAAGTTCTCTAGATTGTGTTAAGTGTTGCATGGGATCTCCAACTGATGTAGTTTTTTATATGCTCCACCCAGTCGTCTTTCAAGATGAACAGATAATGTTCAAGTTTTTGATCTATACAGTAGGACTAGTTCAATTAATGTTCAAAAAGTTTGTACTTTTAAGGAGGATAGAAGATTTGAGTGCCAAATCTTGTCAAGTCTGTTACATGCATCCCATGCAAGAGCTTTGCAGATATTGAAGTGTTTTTTTGGAAATCTATGATGTGAGATCTAAGATATTAGAAATCCTCAACTCTTTTGATAGATGTATTATTGAGCGATTTGAACTCGGATGGTTCAAGAGAGGTTGTGATGTATTCTATCTTAGTCTCATTGCAATAGAGACCTACCTGGTTTGTTGCTTGCTTGAGTGATTGCAGCAAGGATTCTGCATCCTTGATACATTTAGTAATTAATGCAAGATTATCGGCAAAGTCAAGGTCATTCAGGTATTAACTGCTCTGGTGAGTTTTCAAGAAGTGTCCTTTTTCCTCCATGTTGTTGAGAGAAATATGTAGACCATAGCCCAGAACAACTATAAACAGGAAAGAAGCAAGTATGTCACCTTGTACAATTCCTGCTTTAATTTAAAAGGAATCAGTTTCGCCATCAAGCGATACAATGGTGGCAGTGGTGTTTCTATACACAGCTGTAATTGTTTCAGCAATTCTGGGGGGTATACCATAGAGTTGGAGGATTTTGAACATGAGATCTCTGCTGATGAAATCAAATGCCTTGCAAAAGTCAACAAAACAGATTGTGACCTCTTTGTTGAATTTTTCATCTCTTCCAGTATGTGGCGAATAGAGAGCATTTGGGCAGTTACCGACCTGCCTCTTCTAAATCTATTCTGGTTCTTGTGGAGGAGTGGATTGATGGTAGGGACAATCCTATTTAGCAGAAGCTTATTGTAAAATTTGCTTCAATTGGCATGAGAATTATACCCCTATAGTTTGCTGCACTTGTTACATCACCCTCTTTTGGAACAGGTGCTCTTCCATCCTTCATCCAAGCTGAAAGCAGCGAATGGTGTATGAATGTGTGGTTGAAAAACTCTAGGAGGAGGTCATGAAATGTTGGATCTTTCCACAATAATGTTGGTATGTTGTCAAGACTTGGAAATTTGTTGTTGGCAAAATCTTTGAATGTTTTGAGTTTATCAAGCGTGAAAAGGTTGGTGTTTATGTTCAGTTTATTGGATATTTTATGTAGAGAATAATCCTTTAACTCTCTACTATATATCTGTTATTATTATTATGCATTCTTATTATATTTAAGCCTATAATCTTGATTCATAGACATTAATTGACTAGTTAATGATGGATACCAAAATACGCCAAGATTTATACCTTAATGTATATAGACCCTTTCTTGGTCTTTTGAACAGGTAGAGAGTTTTATTTCTTGTTTGCTGTCTAGGATTGGGTTTCCGGTTCCTTCTAAATTCTACTTCAACTCTGTACTTCTAACATCTCCACCTGAACTCCTAAATTTTATTTACTATTTATTTTTCCTCAATAGGAGTAGATAGGTTCAAATATAATCTGGTTCACACTCATTCCTGCTCTTTTGGACAGGAGTATCCCTTGTTTCCTGTCAAAGATGGGATTTCCAGTTCCTTCTAAAGTCTTTTCATTCTCTTTCACTCCTGGTAGCCCCTTGCATCTTAGTGGCATTATCGCCTTGCTTGGGGCGAATTGATTTGAAAGAAAAAAAACAAAAAACAATGTCATTAATTTGTAGATAATTTTCATCTTTATATAAAATCCTGGTTATAATGATAAACTACATCCAGCAGAAAGTCCTCTGAACAGGTTTTGAGGAGCATGGAATCACCTCTTAATTGCTGTTGTTCCTATGTTCACTCCGACAAAGGGTGTGTCGAAATTTAGCTTAGTAACAGCCAAACTCGGAGCAAAAAAGGTTGGGAAACTTTGTCATTACGTCCAATGACGGGAATCCCACATAACACAGTTAACAGAGACCTGAAACCATGAATATACAACCATAACAAGCGAGATAAAGAAGGAAAAACCACTTGAAATAGCTATAAAATTTATTGTGGGAAAAGAAAAAAAAAGAAAATGAGGGGGGAAAAAATAGTCTGATGTTAAAGTTCACAGGTACAACTTGAAAATAACTGCCAAAAATGTCCCTTTGGCGAGCCCTTAAAAAAGACTCCAACAACAGTTCAGAGAGAGTGAAAGAGGTACAGAGATAGCAGAAAGAGGGGAAAAATTAGACTTACAGTTCAAAAAAAAGCTTCAGTATTTTTTTTTAGTAGCTGGGCAGAAAGGTTTTTTTTAGATATTTTGAGTTGCTCTCCTTGGAGGATAAGCAAGATTCCTGTTAAGAATAAATGTAGACTTGTTTTTTCAAACTTTCTCTGCGACACAAATTCAACTTCTTAGAAGATCTTTTTTTTCATATACTTTTTTCACATCAGGATTTCATCCTCCAATAGGACAAAATAACTCCTCGAAGGAAGGTAGCTTTTCAGCCACTTGACTGACTTGTTTCTCTCTTCGACCCGATTGTCAAAAGAAGACTTCCTTGAGAATGTTCTATTGTAAAATTCTCTTTACAATAACTACTTTAACCGATTTTTTGATAAGTCTTTACTGACTTGTCCTTGGTAGCTGAACAGTAATCAACTTGATTACTGGAACAGAATCTTCAAGCAAATTTTCTTTTCGTCGCAAGACAAGACGACTTATCGTCTTCACACTGCGGTGCCCTTTTCCTTGTCAGAGCAACAACAAGTGATCTTCAAGCAGGTTTTCTTTTCGTCACAAGACAAGACGACTTTGTCTTCACACTGCGAACACACTTTTTCTGCTACTACTGACTAGATTCCTCTAATCTAGTCGAAAACAGGCGGGAAAATCTCCTACGATCAATCGTTAGACACGATTTCACCACGTGACACAGCAGCAGCAGTTCTTACACTGCACACAGGGGAAAAAGGAGAGGAGGAAGGAAAGTAAGAGAGATAGAAAGATAGATACAGAAATTAAATTTCTGACAGGTGATAGCACCTGTTAGGGTCCCAGCTTTGGGCAAATAGTGAAAGCCTATGAAAGTATAAAAATACAAACAATACATATTTATAGCAAAATGATCAACAGTACATTTTATAGCAAAATGACCTATACATTTTATCTGTAGTTGAAGCCATAAACTTGTGTTCAAAATATTTAGATTTTGGCATTAAATAACCCATAGAGGTTGATATGCCACTAAACAAAGTCAACAACATCTTTATATAACACTTTGATTCTTTGTAGAATTTTTAGTAATTATTTTTATAACCAATAAATTAATAAGTATATGTAAAATTGATGTTTGGAATAATTTGTAGAATTGGAAATTTTTAAAAGTACAGCATTAATTATTTTAAGTTTCTAGCAAGCAATGGCCTTTATCACATACCTAAGACAAATAAAACAATAGAAATATAAGTTGAAGAACTTTTTCTCTACAAACCACTAACTGATTTTCATGTTTTATATTTCAGAAGAATACTCTCATTGACAAATGGCAACAATTAGAAAAATATGGAATCCTTGATGATCATTTAGTGAATTATCTTTGGGCTGATGACTTAGATCAGAAAATAGCTCTCCTTGGATTACTGGAGAAATTTGATCTCATATGTAAGCGCATACCTTCAAAGGTAGGTTTCTATTTTCACATTTATCAAGAAGACAGTTTTACTGTTTGTACTTAGGTTTTCTGTTATCCCAAACATTCAGATATTAAAATTTTAGTCAGTAGGTAGGATATCTTCTGCCCATTACAAAATGAACAGTGAGTGAACAGTTTTAATTTTGGAATTTGGTTAGCCATTAAAAATAATGCTTTATATTTATGGAGCAACAGTAAGGATTAATTCATTGGTAAAATATTGTGATACAAAGTATTCATCAAATATGGATGCTTCACTCAAGAGTATTTTTTTTTAACTTTTGCATTGATATCTATCATATAACAATGTTTTCAGCCTTTACATTTTATATTCTTTTTTTATGTGCCATGTCCCTTCAGGATCATGGTTCTCCATAACTTCCTTTCCTTCATAAATCTAAGTAATGTTTGTCTCCTTACTATTCTTCCCAGTCTGTTCCTAACCCAAACTTGTTAGGTAGGTTACTGTTTATTTCCCTCTTGCCTTTAATACGAGTGTCAGATGATTTCAGTTGTCTCTTTCTGATTTTGTTTTCATTTTCCTTAAAACTTCCTCATTACTTGCATGCTATTGTCAGCATCCTTCTGTAGAACCACATCTCTGTTGGCTTATGTCTTCTCTTAATCTGAGAGAAAATTGTCCAGTATTCACTGTCATATAGGAGGATTGTTATTGCATAGCAGTGCAGCACTCTTTTCTTTGTTTCTAAATGAAATTTTCTTGTTTCTTAATACTTGGTTTAGCTTTTGAAAGGCATCTTTCACTATTCCAATGTACTTTCAAATTTCTGTCTCACATTGTTAAAACACTTTCCAGATAAGTAAATTTCTATACTTGCTTAATTTGGATATCTCCAAAGTTCTTGTAAAAGGTCTCATTTCTTTGTTCATATAACTATGTATAAATGCTTGACAAATTCTTGGTCAACTTCCTAGAGACAGTTAGGTATTCATTTTTTTATATCAAAGCAATATCCCTTTTTTTATCATTCTATAAAGCTGTATACTTTGTTACTGGTATGTACATTATTATACATAGACATATTTACTAAGCTTATCTTCCTGCTAAAATGTCAACTACAAATAGGAAGATAAAAATCAACATTGCCAATCCTTTTACCTGGAACTGAATATTGACCACTGGTTCAAATATGCAACTTTCTAACCCATTAAACAGACTTTAAGATTATTTATATCTATTAAACTTAGTGTAACAGGAGAGAGCTATAGTAGAAAGGTTTATTCTCTCATTTGTATTTCCCCCATTATGGGCATTATTATATCCATGATATAATAACACTGTAGTTCATGAATGGAATGGCTGAAAGGAAAAGTAATGACAAACATGCTTTGTTCTCAGAGAGACTTTTCTACAACTAAAACATACATAAAACTATATATACAAATATACATATGTGCTACATGGAGAACAATATATGATGTATCTACACAGCAAGCAGAGTGCAAGGAGAAACAAAAAGGAAAGGTCTTGTATATAATATGGAGGTTCTATGTTTCTGGAGAAGCTATGTTTATGACTCGAGATTCAAATGGGCCAGATTCATCTATGTCCCAGGCGAGGTCATATTCTGCAAACAGGAAATGGTGAGTCTTGGGTTTTCCCAAATTGAGGACTGCTAGCCAGAAATTTCTATATCTGGGGAAGATATATTCCCAAACTTGGACTTGTAAACTGTAGCATTTGCTGAAGGAGGCTAGCCTCAGCCTGAGCCTCTTAGAAAAAGCTGTTTGGCTGCTGTAAACAAACTGAATGACTGGCTACTGTATGAAGTGACATCATTAAGTGATTGTCATGTGACTTATCTCCACCAAAAGGAGGTAATCACCTTCTGTAACCCTACTTTAGCTCAGTATAGCACAAGGCCAAAAATGTGGAGCACCCAGCATGTATCAAATATTTTTCATCACTAATAATCTATGAGGGTTAAATTTACCAAACCTTCCTTCCTCATTGTGTCCAATTTCAGATTTTGAGGATAACTGTTCTTTTTGTTGCCATTTCCTTGCAGCTTAATTACTCTATCCATGGAATTTTCAGTATTGTCCAACATTCACTGCCATATAAGAGGATGGATACCACATAGCAATCCAGCAACATTTTTTTTTTTTTTAGCAACCCAGTATCCTTTTCTTTTCTGTACCTGCTTGATGTTTCTATCTACAATTTGTAACTTGCATCTTGAATTTTTTCTCTTAATAATGGCCATACTTCTTGCAATTGATGGTTAATCCTTTTTTTCTCACTTTCTTCTACAAATCTGTCTAGGAGGTCCTGTAGTTTTCTTTCTGAGTCAGACATTAATACAGTGTCATCTGCTTATCTTATATTAAGATTACACCTATCAATAATAAATCCTGGTAGGGTCTCTAGTTTCCTTAGGATGGTATCGCTGTAAAGGTTGAATAAATCTGACTAAATTTTCCAAGCTTTCCTCCCTTATTATATCCAAAGAATTTCAGCTATCTTTTCCTGATTTTGAGTATGTGTTCATTCTGTTGCTATTTTAAGAATTTCTTGTTACTTACTCCATCCATGGAATTTTCAGTATCCTTCTTTAGAACCACATTTCTGCTGCTTCTAGTTTTTTTTTCTTTCATCCTTGGGAAAATTGTCCAACATTCACTACCAAGAGAACGGATACCACATAGCAATCCAGCAACCTTATTTTTAACAAGATTTTACCATTTTTCAGTACTTTGCTTAGCTTTTGGAATGCATCTTTTGCTAGTTCAATACATGTTCGGATCTCAGTTTCACATTTTCTATCCTCTGTTAAAATGTTTCCCAGATATTTGAACTTCAGCACCTGCTTGATGCTTATATCTCCAATTTATAACTCACATTTTGGGTTTTTTTCTTGCTGATGACCATACTGTCTGTCTTCTTGCAGTTGATAGTCCTTTTTTCACGTTTTCTTCTACCACTCTGTCCAGGAGGTCTTGCAGTTTCCTTTACAAGTCAGCCACCAACAAAGTGTCATCTGCATATCTTGTATTAAGATTGTACTCACCGATATAAAGTCCTAGCAAGGTCTCCAATTCCCTTAGGATAGCATTTTAGATGTTAAATAAGTCTGGGGGGAAAAGACTTCTTTATCTCACATTTCTTGTATAGCTACTCAATTTATTTTCTATCTGTATACAGGTGATTTACTACCTGTATAAGTTCTGGATTATTCTAACATCTTTTTCAAATAGATCTAGTTTTCCCAGCAGTTCAAATAGATCCTTGTGCAGTACCTTGTCAAATGCTTTTGCATAATCTATAAAACATAAGTATACATCATTCTGCACTTGTATTGCTCTCTCGCTAATATCATTCTGATCATGAATATTGATTTTCTTGTTCCAGTCTCCTTGACAAAGCTGTGCTGTTCATGTTCTATTTCTAGTCTAATTCTGCTTCCTGCTCTGTTCATCAAGATTCGCATCATTAGTTTGGTTATGTGGCTCATTAAATTGATTGTTCTATGAAGTTCACATTTGTTTGCACCTGGTCTCTTAGGTAATGTTATGAAGATGGATATAGTGATGTCTTTCGGTACATGGCCACTATTGTATATTCCGTTTATTACTTCTATGATATTGTCAATGCTGAAGTCATCTAAGGCTGATGGCTTTTTTTCTTATGATCCCATCAGGCCCTGCTGCTTTGTTCCTGTACTGATCTTGCTTCATCATTTAATATTTCTAGTCCTGTATTTTAAATCATAGGTTTTTCTCTCACATATGGAAAAAATTCTTTAAAATATTCACTCCACCTTTTGGGTATTCTTTCTTTTGCTGTTATCAGTGATCCCGCCTTTGATTTTATAAAGCCCATTGGTTGGCTCACCTTTCATTCTGTTAATTCTTTTATTTTGTTGTGCATTGTGTTTGTGTTGCTCATTCTCTCTATTTCTGTACACTTTTAATTGATTTGATCCATTTCTTATTAACCTGCCTACATTTTTTTTTCTACATTTTTTTTAGTTTTTGTGTTTAGTGTTCAATATTATTTTCTGTTCCTTGGCATTGTTATTTCTTTTTTCATCATTTCTAGAATTTCATCTGTCATCCATTCGTTCTTTTTTTTTGTCTAATTTTCTTTGGCATGAGCTCATTTGCCAATGTCATTAGTGTTTTTCTCAGCATGTTCAACTTTGATTTTGTATTGTTGTTCAGGTTGTATTCATTTATAACTCTATTTTTGTATGTCTTGGCTTCAGTTACTTTCCCCCTGCCATAATGTAGCTTCCCGAAGACTTTTTTTATAAGTCTTTGCTGTTTTTTACATTGTGTGGGAAGAAGTGATCACCAATATGTAAATGATTGTGTCACATGCTGGGAAAGTGATGGGGGTAGTGGCATTGCTCTTGACAAATGCAGATGCATTGTGCACACACATCAGTCATAGCACTAGCAATAGCAAGGAAACATGGTGGTGTTGTTCAGGGTTGCCTGCTTTATGACTTTAAGGCGGGCTTGTCTGCATCATCAAGTCATTGAATACGTAAAGCCTTTGAGAATACTGCTGTGAGTGAACACACTGCCAGGTATTTGTTTCAGAAGTTCAGGTTGGGAGATCTGTTCCTTTGTGATGAACCCTGCAGTGGCTGGCCACATGTCCTGGATGATGAGGCCCTGAAGGCAGCTGTAGATGAGGACAACAAACAAAAAACTGGTTCATAATGCCTTTTCAAATGCTTTATTTGAAGAAAAATATTCACTAATTAAGGCTTTAATCCTTAATAAATTACTTTGATTTGGTTATAAAAAAACGTTGTTTCTATGGTGCTGAGTTGTCTCGGTCTTGAGTTGTCCTGGTGCTTAGTCGGTGGTGTTGAGTTGTCCCTTTCCAAAACTGTGGACATTTACTCATGTGTGCAACAGGCATTGAAGCAGGAGCCAGCATCGGTTAATTGCAAGGGTCCAAGGTTCCTCCATGACAATACCAAGCCTCATGTGGAGCAGGTGGCCAGGGATACTATATGGTGACTTGGCTGGGAGGCAATGTGCTTACTCCCCAGACCTTGAGGCAACAGATTACCAACTCTTCCATTCCCTGGACAACCTAACTTTGTAGGAAATTCTTTGCAAATGAGGCAGACTTGCAGCAGGTATTTGCAGACTGTTTTGCATCCAAGACACCTGATTTTTTATCAGCAGAGCATTGTGTAGTTAGAGACTTGTCAGCAAAAGATTATGGATGCCAATGGGGATTTGAAGACTAACAGCATGTCAAATTTTCTGTATACCATTTTTCTTCTAATAAATAAAAAAAATGGTGAGAACATTTTTGGTTATCTTGTATAAATATGTTCAGGTAATTGTTCTGATGAACTTTCTGCAATGGTACCAAGACTTTATGAATTTAAGCACAGTACTAGTTTAGCAACAAGATCTCAATTTACAGTTGAATTGGTTAGATGCAACTCTAAGTTCTGTGCTAACAGTTACTTCTCTTACACTTCTTGCTTGTGGAACTCTCTTCTGACTACATACTTTCCAGCCAACTATGATTTTCAAAACTTTAAATGCAATGTCAATCATTATCTACTGTCTTCTTGATTCCTCTTCTTTTATTGTTCTCACTCCTTAATGTTTCTCTTTTTCATATTCTTTCACACTCAGTAACACCTTGTGCCTGATTGGCTTTACTTCCTTGCTTGGAGCGACATGATTAAAAAAAAATGTCTCCTTTTAACTTGGGTCTTTCAGGAGTCTGTCATATTGCAGTTTTTGTGTTGCTTTGATCTTCTTTATTTTCTGTAGTTTTACATTGATGTAGTGCATTACTGGAAGATGGTCACTCCTGCAGTCACTTGGGTGTTTTTACAGTGTAGATATGCATCTCTGAATCTTTTGTTGATAGTTAATAATCAATCTTGTTTTTTGTGCCTCCTCCTGGGTTTCTTCATGTCCATGGGCATCCTGGGCCCGAGGTGTTGATGATTACTTGATTGTTTACTGTGCACCATCTTTCACTGTGCACATCTTAGTACAAAGTTGCTGAATATTTAGTCTTCCCATTCTTTTCCTACCTTGGCATTCAGGTCTCCCAAGATGATAGTGATTGTTTTACAAAGGGCATTGACATTGTCAAAAGAGTTGCAATAGTTGTTAATTTCTTCTATACTCTACATTGTCAGTGCATATACAACAATAATTACTATGTGATGTAATGGAATAACTTGTCACCCCCATGAGTGACTACACTATAGGTAGTAACTACCTATAAGTAGCTGTAAGCCAATGGACTACGGAGACTAGCTTGGATCTGTTGAGTACGACTCAGACTTATGCAAGAACTACCGACCTTCCAATAGTAGCACTCACTACTGGATTGACTTGCAACAATTTTGTGCATAACTGTTACCTTTATTCTTATTGTGCTGTTTTTTTTACAATAAACCTTTACTTATTTTATCCACCTTGTTTTTCAAGTATATATTCCTATTAGCACAGAATATAACACTATGTTAAAGGGCTTTCCTTTTAGTTTAACTAACAGGGTTGTGTTTTAGATTTGACAGTAACCTAAAACATATTTCTTCATATTTCATATATAAAACATATTTCAAATATTAACCCTATACCTCTTTCATTTTTCTCCCTGCCTGCATATATAGGGTGCAATGGGTAAATTGTCACCATTTTATATTTTTAATTGTGCAAATGTACATTGCTTTTTTTTATTTTGTCAACTGCACAGTAGTGTGATTTGAGCACCATCTTTGAGAAAAAAATCACCATGACACAATTCACTCTGCCAGAAATTTGCAAACACCAACACTGTACTGCTTGGCATTTGTGCCAGATTCACCAATACAAACATTTCAGAATGTTTTGGGGGAAAATCTGAGAACAGTGCAGAGGTTTCAGAAAGAGTTGGACGGGTCTAATGATAATTGTGGAGGTACGGCTGCTCAGAAAACTCATTCTGATGAGAAAAGAACTAGTGATTTTTGTTGGTAAGGCCCACAGATTCAACTTAGATGCCTACATCAAGTGCCTTGAGGAGATACTGCTGCCCTGGGTCAAGAGGGTGGCTGCTGGAAGACACTATGTCTGGCAACAGGACTCTGCACCATTCCACAAAAGCAGGCGAACCCAGTCATAGCTGTCAGACAATTTTTGCAGCCACATCACCCTTTTCATCTGGCCACCTAACTCCCCAGACTGCAACTCTCTTATTTATTAAGTATGAGGCACAGTTGAATGGGTGATGACCAAAACTCCTTGAACAACAAAGATGAACTAAAGGCAATAATTGTGGCAGCATTCACTAACTTAAACAAGGAAATCGTCCAGAAAAGTTGCAGGAGATTGTGAAGTCATCTGAAGGCCATGCTTGAAGCCAATGACAATTTTATTGAATAAATTTACTCTTTAGTATTTCAAGATATTTTTGTGTAATTTTAGCAGTAAAATTAGAAAATAAGAGACATCTCATTTTAAAAGGTATATATCTTTTAAAATGAGATGTCTGTTATTTTCATTTTTCGGTAATTTAGACAACACTTTATCCATTGCATCTATTATTCTGTGTGCGTCACTTATAAATCCCCATTACTTGTCCACTGAGATTCACATATGCCTAAAATGTTGATATCATCCTGTTTGATGTTTGAGAGCTGACCACTTTGGTATAGTCTCCTTATGTTACAATTCTTAATTCTTATTTTTTTTATTTGTTGTCTGGTATCACCTCTCTCTCATGTCTATCCTTACTGAGCAAGGAGTTGTTCCTGAAGAATTTGACCCTATTTACACTGCTATTCCTTATATTTATTTTACAGTCTGGTAATACTTGTTGCATATGTCTTCCCTTACTTGTCGAGGAGTTACCTCTGATGGACTTCTTCATGCTGTTGACTTTAATAATTGTATTGTTTGTTGCTATGATTGTTCTTGGGATATGTAGTGGAGTGGTTTAACGTTGCCTTCTCCACAGTGTTTTTATTGAGATACCAACTCTAATTAGCAGGCTGTTGACTGATGCTAACTTCCAGAAAAGTGACTTGTTGCACCTTCACTGACATGAACTGGAAAGATTATATTGAATCAATTGCTAGGTCTTCTGCTAAAAAAATTGGTTCATTGTGTTGTGCTAGATAGTTTTTCTCACCAGAATCTAACACATTTATAAGTTTACCATTTGTCCATGCCTTGAATATTGCTATCACATTTGGTCTGGTACTTCTGCTATATATTTAGGGATTCTTGTTAAAATAAAAAGAATAATATGCAATCTTACTGGTACTGACCTTGAATCTCTATTTCAATCACTTTCTCACTACTGTAATGTAGCTGCCCTGTGCTTTTCTATAAGTATTTTCATAGTAATTATTCTGATGAACTTTACACTTGAAATGGCTAGATGGAATCACAAGTTAACAGTTTCTTCTCTCACTTCTCGCTTGTAGAACTCTCTTCCAGCTTCTTGTTTTCCAATCAAATTTGATCTTCAAAAATTTAAATGCAATGACAATTGTTATCTTCTGTCTTCTTAATTCCTGTTCATTATTATTCACTCTCCTTAATTATGTTTTCTTTTTCTCTCATTCTCTTACACTCAGTGACCCCCCTTGCATCTTAGAGACTTTATTGCCTTGCTTGGGCTAAAATTTAAATGTGTTTATGAACATAAATTTAGAATTAGTTTTCATTTTAATTTTTGTTTTTGACAAGTTCAGTCTGTAAAAAAAACAAAAAAAAAACATTTGAGTTTTATGACCTACTGTGCATAAGTATGTCAATAATGAAATAAAATAATAAACACTGAAGTACTTACAATTTTTAACCTTGTATCTTTTTAATTTAAGAAATTAAGTATAATTTAAAACATTATTTTCTTAAGCTAAAATTTTGATTATATTTACAGGTTGAAAACACAAAGGTAGCAAGTTACTATGTACCTGGCCGATTTCACCTTGTTAGAGACAAGAAAAAGCTGTACATGGAAAATTCAGAAGATGTTACATTTTATCTAAATTTTCTTGGCTTTCTTCCAGGTGAAGAATATTCTAGTTTTCTTTTATCTCTTTAAAATTAAATAGCCTATATTTTATGTGTAAATCTTTAATGCTAGTTTTACTACTAGCCATATTTGTGTTAGCCATTAAAGAAACACAATTAAAATTTGATTTCCTCAATCATTTGCTATCATTTGGCCAATTTCTACAAAAACAAATACAGCCACAAGATTAAACAAAACTAATAGATTGTGTATTCCCTGTGCATTGTAATATATACAGATGGTGGGCATATATAAACAACCTTATTCTGTCCAAATAAAGGCTCAGGTCATATTGACAGAAATATTACGATTAATTTGTTTTTTCTAATAATAATGCAATCCAAGATCATAAAAAGTATTTTGCAACTACATGTCATAGACAGAATTTATGAAACTTGCATGAAGATTTTGATTCATGAATAATTACATATATAGAAACATTACAGATTTTAAAAGGATATGTAGGATGTAAACTTGTGATGGTAAGGACTAATAAAATATGAGACTAAATCTGTCAGATGTAAAAATGATCATTTCTTCATTTCTGGACATTGAAACACCAGTTCTCATACAATCACCAAAGTTAAGCAACATCAAGCTTGGTACCTAGTTGGGTGACCACTTAGGAATACATGGTGCTGTAAGCTTGGCTGTGCAGTTAGTATAATGGATAATGCCTCAGAACTGTGAATTGAAGTGCCAACTTCCAATTCCAGTCAAGTCACTTACGTTCAAATACCGTTGGGAAAGATATGGATCCACTTCTTCTCCCCCAGTTCTAGGTTAGTTCATAGAACTTGTATCAGTAAATCATTATCTCCAAAAGGTTATTACAATCTAAAATATATTTTCTGGCTTTAACCTGCAAGAGGTTGATAAGCCATAAAAAGCAAATTAATCAATCTTCATTTTTGAACTTCATCAAATTAATATTACCATGAGGGTGCATGGTTTTAGGGAATTTCTTTAAATGTTGATCTTATGAGAATATAAGAGAAAATAAAACGGCCTACCTACAAGCGTTCTCGCATCTTCCTGGCCTGTGGGTTGAGAAAGGAAAAAAAGATTCAAAATGGCGTCCGTGACTTTTAATATTCATGGTCTCGTGCAGTCACAAAAAAAGTCGCGTTACACACATGCTAATGAGGTGTGTCTGGGCTCCATAAAAAGCAGGTTGCTTGGAGACATTGGCAGACCAACATTTCACCCGTGCTTGGTGTACATCGTTTTGCATTGCAGACATTTTCAGACGGAAAGAGTTGCGTCCCTTACACTGTTCAAGTCGACTCATTTGCTACAAGCTATTTCGGCAATTATTACAGCATGGACAGATTCGACTTGAAGTTAATACCAGAGTTCGACGGCTCCCCGCTGGCCCGTCTGTGGTCGAGTGGTGGGAAAAGGCGAGCGGGTCTGCGGCTCTGTAAAATTAAAGATCCCGCACTGGTTATCCCTCTTAGACTCACCAAAGGAGCTTACGCTGTGTATCAGCAGCTAAGGGATGGCTTGAACTTGGAGGAAATAAAACAAGCTCTATCGCAGCATTTGGTGCGGACCCCTTTGTCGCCTGGAGGCAGTTTGCGAGCGACGGCTTGGACCGGATGAAACAGTAGATGTCTTTCTGGCGATTTGAGGAAGCTGGCCGCACCGTTCGTGGAGCAAGCGACCAAATCCTAGGATGCGCCTTTCTGGCAGGACTCCCAGACAACGCAAGTCGACTGCTACGAGCATCGTCAAGGCTCAATGAGCTGGGGCTAGGCAATTACTGGCCAGAGCCGGAATATTCTAAAAGATGGCGCGGAGCTGGCCTCAGCAGCTGTGGAAGCACCCGCACCGCCAACTGAGGACATAAGGTGCTATAAATGTGGCGGACTGAACCACTTCTCCAAAGACTGCGGCGGTGCGAAGGATACGCATAACCGAGGAACACGGAGAGCGTGCGTTGCTACAAGGTGCGACAAGCTGGGCCATGTAGCAAGAAGCTGTCGGGAAACGGGCAGGGGAGGCTACAGCGCCAGTCTTCTCCCAGATCGCCGCTGAACAAAGGCGCTACCCGCAGTGAGCGTGCGGATTAACGGGCGTGGCGCTTCACGCTTGTTGACACGGGTGCACCCAGACCCTTGTGCGCAAGGCATGTTGTGACACGTGGGACAAGAAAAATATTCCAGTTCTGACTGTTGGCGGGGCTCGCTAACCTCTTGTGGAGTGGCGTCATCCGCGCAAGCATCGGCGATGGGCCTGCAGTAGCTGTACAAGCCCTGGTCGTGGACGGAGGGCTGCTCGGCTATGATCTGCTCCTGGGAATGGACGTCATCAAAAATTGGGTGGTGTCCGTGTTGACGAAGAGGGTCGGGCGCGTTTCACTGAAACAGGTCTAGCTCTAGGTGCAGCAATGGAGCTGGAACGGCCTGACTTTTTCGTGCGGAGTTCGACCGGCGCACAAAGTCCTGGACGGTATCTTGAAATGGTCAGGCGATCAACGCCAGAGAAGCTGTACAACAATGTGCGGAGTATAAGATCCCCCGCGAGCTTGTGCGGAGTCGACAAGGAATTGCGAGCCTGGATTAATAACGGGTGGTTGGTTCCTTATCCAGAGAAGGAATTGGGGCCCCCCAAAGGGCCTGATCCCGCTAATGGCGGTTCTCCAGCACAACAAACAAAAGGTGAGGGCGGTGCTCGACTATCGAGAACTGAACGAGCACGTGGACCCTTTTACTGCCAGCGGACGTGTGTACCGAGAAGCTAAGGGAATGGCGACAAGCAGGATCAAATGTATCTGTGCTGGATCTTCGCAAGGCATACCTTCAAGTGCGTGTGCACCAATCACTGTGGCCCTATCAAACCCGTGCTTATCAAGGGGCAGCGGTATTGCCTGACCCGCATGGGGTTTGGACTCAATGTGGCGCCATCGATTATGCAGATGATTGTTGACGCCATTCTAACGAAGGATGGCGCATGGCGGGCAACATCTGCATATATTGATGGCGTGTGCGTGAGCGAGGGAGTCGTATCTGCGGCGCGCGTGAAGGAGCATCTCTACAACTTTGGCCTCCTCAACAAGGAACCGGAGAGACTACAGGATGGTGCACGGGTGCTTGGTTTGCAGGTCTGGGGAGAAGATGACGTCCTGTATTATTGAAACGGGAAACGAACTCCCAGACATGCCCTCCGTTGTCGCGCGGCGAAGCATATTTTCCTTGTGCGGCAAGTTAGTTGGACACCTTCCTGTAGGTGGCTGGCTGCGTGTTGCGGTGGCGTTTATCAGCGGAGAGCATCTGGCGTCACCACTGGATGGGATGACGAAGTTCACGACGCCCCTCTCAACACCATGATGAAGGAGGTCCTCGCCAGAGTACGCAAGGAAGACCCAGCGGGGGGCAGATGGTGCGTTGACAGCCAAGACCTCTGTGTGTGTGGGTTGACGCAAGCTCTCTTGCAACGGCGTATCGATAGTTCACGATGGAGCCGTGGTAGAAGATGCTTGCTGGTTACGTCAGAAAGGGACTCCCAGCACATAAACCTAGCGGAGCTCGATGCTGTCATCAAGGGGATCAACTTGGCGATCCTCTGGAAGTCGACCACCCTGCGTCTGTTCACTGATTCCGCTTGCGTTTATAAGTGGATCTCTGATACCTTGACCGGGAGGGCCAGGGTGCGGACTAAAGCCACCAGCGAGATGCTTATCCGGCGACGGCTCGACACGATCGTGAATTTAGTGCAAATGCGCGCACTGACAATGGAGGTGTCCCTGGTCAAATCTAGCCTCAACAAAGCAGATTGTTTTAACGAGGGTGCCGCAAAGGTGGCTTGACGCCGCTAAGAAAGCCATTGAGCCCATGCAACCAGCCTGCGCTGCGTCCGTGAGTCCTGTTCGATTTAATCAAATCAAAAAGTCCACCAACAAAGTGGGCACCCTGGTGTCAGCGGACACTGTATTTCGCCAAGTTGGTTGACCCAGGAGTACAAAAAGGCAGACGTCAGGAGAGTGGTCAGAAGCTGCGTGGCGTGCCAGTCTATAGACCCAGCACCCGTTCGCTGGAAGAAAGGGCAGCTGGCGTGAGGAACCACTGAGCCCGGCTGGCGATAGATGTTACTCACCACAACGGCGAGCATTTCCTGACACTCATTGATTGTGGTCCATCCAGATTTGCGATATGGCGACTGCTGCGCCGGCAAGATGCAGCCACTATCATCCGTCAGTTAAACAGCATCTTTCTTGAACGTGGCCCCCAACGGAGATATTAACCGACAATGGCACCGCATTCACCAGCGAGCAGTTCGGGAAGTTTGCGGATGGCTGGGGAGTGCACTTACGGTTCGGTGCGCCCACGTGCCAGTGGAAATGGAATCATCGAAAGCGGAACCACAGGACCGTCAAGACCATCGCAGCCAGGACGGGCTGCGCGGTGTCTGAGGCGGTCTACTTATACAACGTGACCCGAAGGATGATGTCTCACCCTCCACGGCGCCAGCAGACACATAACATAGGTACCACGTTAGAGTGAAGGGCATAGAAACCAACCCACTGACGGAACTGAAAGTAACCGGAGAGAGGCTGAAGAAAGGCGATGTCGTCTGGATTAAAAAATCCGCACAGCAAGTGCACCACGAAATACGGAATCGGACGCGTCACTGAGGTGATCAGCCCACAGGCGGTGCGGGTCGACGGTGTGCCCGTCACGTTAAGGACCTGCGTCCGTCGACGCAGTTGCAACCACCGCTGGACGATGAGAGCGAATCGAATCTAAGACCAGTGAGGCATCGCTCTGGTTCACGCCAGCCCCATCAGGCAGTGACTCGGATATCAGTAGCCTTCCAAGGGACGTGGTGTCTTTCGACCCTCAGACCTCAGACAGGAGCACAAGCAACGATGAGGCTCACAGCGTCCCTCTTCAAAGAAGTACCCGGCGCAAGCGATCACCACCTCCCTGTCAACTCTGTGATCATGAGATCAGGGGGGTGTGGGGAAAATAGAAACGGCCTACCTCACAAAGC